CAAAGTCCTACATAGCCAACGGCTGATACAGGACTATAATGGAATAATAATAATAATAATAATAATGCACTTTCCATATCTCTTCGCTTTTGTGAGACATTTCTCAGCTTTCTTCCTTTTGTACCAGACTGTGGCTGCTATTCTGATATGGTCTTCTTCCCTATCACTACCTCGACACCTTAGGTTCAAACCTTTGAATTTTCTCTTAAGATAAAACGATCGTCATGTTAGAACGCCAGCGCTCGAAGACAGCCAGTCCCCAGACTTCTGGTCACGGTCTCTCCATGGCCTCCCAACAAAGCCATCAGAACCATCATCGTCGCGAGTCCGAAACTGTTGCTGGAGAGATCCTGCGAACCTTGACCCACCAGTCCACATTCTCGGAAAGAGTTCGAGAAAGGGAACTTGACGATACAGAGGAAGCGGACGAAGATGAATCAAGGATTGGCGATTGGAACATGACTCATGAGGTCAAAGCGATGAATGCAAAAAACAGCGGACAAAACCCAAAGCATTTGGGAGTTACTTGGCAAAACCTGACCGTGAAAGGGGTTGGCAAAAGTGCCATGATTCAGGAAAACTTCCTCTCCCAGTTCAAGGTTTGGCAAAGGATTCGCGAATCGAGGCAGCCCAGCAGCATGAAAACGATTCTAGAAAACTCACATGGTTGTGTCAAGCCCGGTGAGATGTTACTGGTGCTCGGCCGACCTGGATCTGGTTGTACTACTTTGCTTAATTTACTCGCCAACAAACGCTCTGCCTATGCTGAGATCCAAGGCGATGTCCGCTTTGGCAACCTGTCCTCGGAGGAAGCCTCAAAGTACCGTGGACAGATTGTCATCAACACCGAGCAAGAAATCTTCTTCCCAACTCTGACAGTTGGTCAAACCATGGACTTTGCCACCAAGATGAAAATTCCCGACAAAGGCGTTCTCGGGACGCAGACCGAAAAGGAATATCAACAAGAGGTGAAGGACTTTTTGCTACGCTCTATGGGCATTGAACAGTAAGTGATACATGGTACAGAATGCATTATTGGCATCGGGTGGGATGCACCCTTTCGCTTGGTTCGACGTGGATCCTTCTCATCTCAAGAAATTTTGCTAACGTCCTACCGCAACTTCCAGTACACATAATACCAAAGTCGGGAACGAGTATGTTCGTGGTGTTTCAGGTGGCGAGAGGAAGCGAGTGTCCATCATTGAATGCTTGGCAACTCGAGGAAGCGTCTTTTGTTGGGATAACAGCACTCGTGGTCTTGACGCAAGTACTGCTCTGGAGTGGGCCAAGGCGCTTCGAGCCATGACAACCATATTAGGTGTCACAACAATCGCAACACTATACCAGGCTGGAAACGGCATCTTCGAACAATTCGACAAAGTCCTAGTTCTCGATGAGGGCAAGCAGATTTTCTACGGCCCAAGCGAGGAGGCACGTCCTTTCATGGAGCAGCTCGGATTCCTATGCGATCCTTCAGCCAACGTCGCAGATTTCCTGACTGGCGTGACAGTCCCTTCTGAGAGAGCCATCCGGCCCGGCTTTGAGGCTTCATTTCCTCGATCGGCCGATGCGGTTCGTGAACGCTACGAGCAATCCAGTATTCACCAGCGAATGCAATTGGAACTTGCGTTTCCGGAATCAGAATACGCACAGAAAAGCACGGAGGACTTCAAAAAATCCGTTGCTACGGAGAAATCCAGACACCTGCCAAAGAACTCGCAATTCACTATCCCCCTAGGGAAGCAAATCTCCACTGCAGTCACGCGCCAATACCAAATTCTCTGGGGTGACAGAGCGACCTTCATCATCAAACAGGCACTAACCATTGTTCTCTCACTGATATTTGGTAGCTTGTTCTATAACACTCCCGATACGAGCGGTGGTCTTTTCAGTAAAGGTGGTACCATATTCATCAGTGTGCTCTCTTTTGGTCTAATGGCACTCTCTGAAGTGACTGATAGTTTCTCTGGAAGACCTGTTCTCGCCAAGCACAAGGAGTTTGCTTTCTACCATCCCGCTGCATTTTGCCTCGCACAGATCACTGCAGACATTCCGATTATAGCTTCCCAAGTTACTACTTACTCGCTGATCGTGTATTTCATGGTCGGATTGAAGCAGACTGCTGGTGCGTTCTTCACGTTTTGGGTTCTCCTCTTCTCGGTTTCTATCTGCATGACAGCATTGTTCCGACTGATTGGAGCTGCTTTCGATAAGTTCGACGATGCCTCGAAAATCTCTGGGTTTACGGTTTCGGCTTTGATCATGTATTCAGGCTACATGATTCCAAAAACAGCCATGCACCCCTGGTTTGTCTGGATATTCTGGATTAACCCGTTGGCTTATGGCTTTGAATCCCTGCTGGCTAATGGTACGTTGTGTGCATCTTTTCTTTTGCTCGCGTTGATCTGCAGGTTCTAGTGCTAACAATTTACCTTAGAGTTCAAAGGGCAAACCATGCGTTGTGTCATTCCCAACCTCATACCTGCCGGACCTGGCTACAATATGACCAGCAATAATGCCTGCGCTGGCATTGCGGGAGCAGCAGTCGGAGCCAACTCCCTCACTGGTGAAGAATATTTGGCCTCTCTCTCGTATTCTACGGCTCATATATGGAGAAACTTTGGAATTCTTTGGGCGTGGTGGGTCTTGTTCACCGCTCTGACTATTTTCTTCACAAATCGTTGGAAGAATACGTTTACAGGAGGCAATTCGCTTGTGGTTCCACGCGAGAACGTAAAGAAAGCGAAAACTGTCTTAGTAGCCGATGAAGAGTCTCAGGTGGATGAAAAAAGCCCCAATTCCTCAGATTCGAGCGGTGTAGTCGCTTCCTCCACGAACGACACACCCGAAGGGCTGATCCGGAATGAGTCTGTCTTCACTTGGAAAAACTTAACGTATACCGTCAAGACCCCAAATGGACCCCGAGTCTTACTCGATAATGTCCAAGGATGGATAAAGCCGGGTACTTTAGGCGCTCTTATGGGATCTAGTGGTGGTAAGTTGCTTGCTGTGTACCCTTGATTCATATTTGGTTTTTGCTGACATGGAATACAGCTGGCAAGACTACACTAATGGATGTTCTTGCTCAACGTAAAACCGAAGGGACAATCAACGGTTCTATCCTTGTCGATGGACGGCCCCTCCCAGTTTCGTTTCAACGTAGTGCTGGTTACTGTGAGCAATTAGACGTTCATGAACCGTACACAACTGTAAGGGAGGCCCTAGAATTCTCTGCTCTTCTACGTCAGCCAGCAGAGACGCCAAGGGCAGAGAAACTTCGCTATGTCGATACCGTCATTGATCTCCTGGAGCTCCGCGACTTGGAGCACACACTAATTGGTAAAGCCGGTGCAGGTCTCTCAATCGAGCAAACAAAACGAGTCACCATTGGCGTTGAACTGGTAGCAAAACCTAGCATCCTTATTTTCTTGGATGAGCCAACCAGTGGCTTGGATGGCCAATCTGCATTCAACACACTGCGGTTCCTTCGAAAACTTGCCGGGGCTGGACAAGCCGTTCTCTGTACGATCCATCAGCCCAGCGCGCAACTGTTTGCCGAGTTTGACACTCTTCTCCTGCTTACCAAAGGCGGAAAGACAGTGTATTTTGGAGACATCGGTACTAACGCAGCCACGATAAAGGACTACTTTGGACGCAACGGAGCCCCATGTCCCGCAGAAGCGAACCCAGCAGAGCACATGATCGATGTCGTTTCAGGCACTCTCTCGCAAGGCAAGGACTGGAACAAGGTGTGGTTGGAGTCTCCAGAGCACGCTGAAGTCGTCGAGGAACTTGATCATATCATCGCTGAAACTGCTGCACAGCCGGCTAAGAGCGTTGACGATGGAAGGGAATTCGCCGCGGATATGTGGACCCAGATAAAGGTTGTCACAAACCGCATGAACGTTGCCCTTTACAGGAACATTGATTACGTCAACAACAAGATGACTTTGCACATTGGCTCTGCTCTGTTCAATGGATTTACCTTCTGGATGATTGGAAATAGCGTGGCAGATCTGCAACTGGCTCTGTTCGCCAACTTCAACTTCATATTCGTCGCGCCTGGTGTATTTGCGCAGCTGCAGCCGTTGTTCATCGAACGCCGCGACATCTATGACGCTCGTGAAAAGAAGAGCAGAATCTATTGTAAGTTTCCCGCGTCCACACATTACTAGCATGCATCTGATTTTGTATGCCACAGCCTGGGTAGCCTTCGTCACGGGCGTAATCGTCAGTGAATTCGCCTATCTCGTCCTCTGCGCAGTTCTCTACTTCGTCTGCTTCTACTACACTGTGGGCTTTCCGTCTGCTAGCAAGGATGCTGGTGCCGTGTTTTTCATCATGCTCATTTATGAGTTCATCTACACGGGCATAGGACAGTTTGTCGCTGCATACGCTCCCAACGCTATCGCTGCAAGTCTTATCAATCCACTCGTCATCTCCGCCTTGACATCATTCTGCGGTGTCCTCCTCCCGTATAGCCAGATCACGCCATTTTGGCGTTACTGGATGTACTACCTCAATCCATTTACATTTCTCATGGGAGGCTTGCTCACTTTTACTACGTGGGACAAGGAGGTCATCTGCAAGGAGTCTGAATTTGCAGTATTCGACCCGCCAAATGGCCAGTCCTGTGGCGCTTACTTGGAACCATATCTCCAAGGCTTGGGAAGAGCAGCGAACTTGGTGAACCCCGATGCGACGCAAGCTTGCAAAGTGTGTCAGTACAGGAAGGGAAGTGATTACCTGGCCACCCTCAACATCAATGAGCATTACTACGGCTGGAGGAATATCGGAATATGCGCTCTATTTGCTGTGAGCTCGTACGGTTTGGTTTATGGGCTTATGAAATTGAGAACAAAGACCTCGAAAAAGGCAGAGTGATGCAGGTGAACAGGGCCTCACTTTTGACACAGACTGTCATTGTACATATAAGTGTGTTTGCTACTCAAAAAGCAACATAATTATTCAGATTGTAGAGCAATAGGCTTGAACGGTGTTCATGTTTGTAAAAGTAATAGACTAGAATTTATACTTCCGGCAGAAGCAGCGGGTCTTGCAACAAGCGCTTCATGTCTTCAGGGAGTAATGGCAACGTTACATCAACTCCATTATCTGTCCAGGTTCTTGGACATGTGTTTGAAGACGATGTAGAATTCGTTGGTGGCGCGTCGTTAATGAGAATGCACCCGTCCAAGCATGGTACAACGCCATCGGCGTAGCGAATGAGTGCCCCGAACCCGAAGTCGACTTCGTACATGCCCGCTCGGGCCCAGGTTGTCACCATGATGTGCCGCTGACCTAGAAAACCCTGCCAAATCCGTTGAGGCGACTTTTCGTATGCGATACTGTGGAGGTGAGCCGCTAGTCGTTGTTCATCATTGACTGTCATCAATGTTTCGCGTATGCGCTGTGCAATCTTTCCGAGCGAGGTGCTAGCGACTTGCGAGGCAGTAGACTCAATGTTCAGCATCATGGTAGGTGATCCGATGAAGCCGGCACCAAGTTTGAGTACTGGTCGTGTACCAAGCACGAGATCGCAATGAACTGGTCCTTGATCCTCCTGAAGACCACGAGCGCGCACCACGCACGACCAGATATGGGCTAACAAGGCGTCGTGCTTGCTTACTTTCAGTCCTGGCAACATGATGGAGCTGTCTTGCGTTGCAGATTGCCATAGAAAGTCGATCTGTTTCTGGCTCAAATGAATCGTATACTGTTCTACCTTCGCTTGCGTATCCCATTCGGCCCAAGGGAGCGGCTTACCAGCTGGAGCCAGATCCGCAGAAAATTGAGATGGAGGCTTCATAGGTGGTGCCCACCAGTCGTATCTATGCAGTGGAAGGGCAAGTGCATCTTGCACAATAGTAGGATTAGCTTCGCTGGCATTGATGTCACCCGCAGCATGAGCGTCCAGAATATCAGGCCGGAAGACTGAATTTGACGCTGGAAAAGGCATTTTCGATATCAAGGCACATGAATTGCTTGCCCAATCTTGTACAAAACGAGTAAGTGCCGTGATATCTGCAAGCGGGTGGGCGATCTTCGCAGCTATCACGAAGCCACCGCAAGCAAGCCTGGTAAGTTGTACAGCCATGCACGGCTTGTATGACCCATTTGCATCTTTCTCATTCGGTTGAAGCGCATTAACCACAGCTGTCTGCGGTACAAAACAAGAAAGTGTGACCTCGTTTTCCAGTCGGTTCCAAATAGGCCGCCTCTTCGCGGAGTGAACGCTGTACAGGCTGTCCACAGTTGCTAGGCTTGTTGCTTCCACGAATTCAACTCCTGGGTCTGCAACTGTCCCATAGTGTACGTAAACTCGACCGTAGCGTCTGGCATACGTTGGGAAATGGGCCGTTTCTCTAGTAGGTTTGTTGCTATCAATGGTAATGATACTTTTTAGAAATCCGCACCACTGTTGGTATGCGTTCAAGGTTGCGCCAAACGCTGCGCGTAGGTGGCCAGTAAGATCATCTGGAGCAAGAGAAATATTCGGACGGTCCAGGAGCCATATAGCGCTAGTGAGACTGAAGTTGGCGGTTGTTGCATCTAGCAGTGATAATGGGGAGGTAAATTCGCGGCTTGCAGGTTGATCCGGCAATATCCGGCCGATATGAACAATAGAAGGAATTTCTGATGATGTAGGAGCCGCCATGTTAGGAATAATAATTGCAGGTCTAGTAACACAATCTTTTGCCCAAGATGATACCTTTATAAGGTTCCCATTTGTGCCAGGATCACCTTCCTAAATCAGTACATATATGTAAGGGGGTGAGGATGAGTCATTCTGAGTGCAAGCCGTGTGCTTATCACCAGCGGTACATAGAGTAGTTAATGCTAAGTAGTGAGAAGCTCACTAGTTATAAGGCGTTACGGTGAACCGCTAAGCTCCCTTCTGAACTTCCCCCAAGGTCTATTAAAATACATAGTTCCTACTGGGAGCCGAGTGAACTGTGGCCCGTGCGCAAAATCAACCAAAACCACATAATTAGTTTGCATTCGTCATATTTACAGAACTAGAGCGTTGAAGAAGAAACGGATTGCTTATACAAGAAGAATGTTTCTTTATTTACATTTGCTTTAACTTAATTATAGTCCTCCCATATGCCTATCGTACATGCAAAGTTCGTTTGTATAGCTATTCCTCTCCTACCTAGTCACGCTTCTTTTATACCATTAGTTGCTTCCATGTAGTTTCTTACACCACAAGCTCTAAAAATGCTCCTTATAGTACTACTTCTTTTTGTTTTCGCATGGCAATCACGTGTAGCAGGTCTGCCAATATGTCGGTGGTAGAGGGAAGCACGAGAAACATCAAACGTGACTGCAACACGTCTTCAAGTCTTAACTTGGCTTGCACCTAGACGTAATTTTGTGAAATAAATGCTATTCTCCCAAGAAGGGCGTTGGACCAGAATTGGTAGAGCCAAAGTTGGTTCGAGGTTGTAAGATGTGGGAGGTTGGCGTGATACGAGGCCTCTCGCCTATCCATCACACTATCGTCCATTGCCGTCCATTGATTGCTTCAGCCACCACGTTACACAGGAATTATCGTAGAGGCGCTTTTACTGTCATCGTTTAGCCTCATTTGGTTTAGCCACTAAGTTAGCCACATCCTACGACATACAGACGAAGAGTCCACGTGAGCCTGCGGCTCAGATAGCGCTCAATTTTCGGTCCAGCCTTGCGCCACCATCCGGGCCGCTGTCACTGATGCCAAAACAGATAATCTCTAAGCTAATTCAAGCTAGATGGGTCTGTTGTCCGTATGCATGGTGTATCACATTTGTTCAGCTGTCTCTCATTTTGTAGAAGAATACAGGTTCCCGCCCCCATCCCTTGCCCCCGATTGTGCAGAAGCGACGAGATGTGGTTGACAGCATAGCGCCCCACCGATTCAGTGAGAGGGTCGTTAGATAAGTAGGTAGTGCCGTTCCCTATCCATGACCATGATAAGATATTTTTACGGCCAGAAGGTTTCACATCGCATACCTATTTCTTGAATATTTGTTTAAGCACACGTACAGAATGAGTGTACGACATAAGTCCCTGTTCAGTTACAATTTAACCCGCCCTTTTCCTTTCCGGTGGTTCACACCAGGGGCAGTGGTTGGAGGCCTTATATTAACGGCAGTATTCACTTTTGTGAATTTTGCCTCAAGTGGATATGTTTTGGCCATCGAGATGTCTTCCAACCCTAACGTCACTCTCTCCCAATCGATGGGTTCGATGAATTATTGGCCGTCCTACCTTACGTCAAAAGTGAGGCCAATATGCCAACCGAGCTCACTGCCTGTAAACACGCGATTCTTCACAAACCAGACGGCGCTGATGTATACGCTTACGAGCGTGTGGCAAGAAGAGCCACAACGAATGATCTCGCCTTCGCTAACGTACCTTGGCAATGTGCTTGAGAACTGCGTTGTAAACTCGATTCAGATTGATCTTGATAGCCAAGACCGCGCGGCTAACCAACTGGCATTCATGGAATGGGGCGCGGGTGTGCGCACATCTGTAACATGCGAGATATCTACAGCCACCGGGCCGGTCTTCCTCAACGTCACCCAGTCTTACGACTACGTACCTGATACCGTCTCCTTTTCCCAAATAGAAAAGTTTCTGGGTTCAGGAATATTGAGTCGTGATAAGACAACACGAGCAAGTTTGTGGTGGGGGGAGTCGCTCATGTCTACATACTGGACTGAGGTCACAGCTGGCATGCAGGATGAGACACGCGGCAGAAGCGTAGGCAATTGGCCAATTCGTAAAGGCACTCTCTACTTTGTTCCTCAGCCTGGTGCCAGGATCGAAAAAGAAGATTTTTTTAGCTACTTCCAAGCGCAGTTCATCGTCGCTACACAGCCAGGTGACTACGAATACCCGAAACCGATCAGTCACCCAACCATAGCAGAACTCGACAGCTTGAGTGTGTACCCCAACATCTGGACTCCAGCGAGCAACCTGGCCAAAGCAGCATACGCCATGGTCTTGGCTGATCTAGGCCAGAACCCGAAAGAGCCAACAATGTTGACGGATGTGGAGCTATTGCGGTCATTCACTTCGAATCTCGTATCTGCGCAGAAGAAAGCTTTCAATGCAAAACCAGGGCCAGCGACCCAGAGCTACGATGAGACGACTACTGGTGCCTTATCTGTGACACCCTCAGTTATCTCCGCTCAATACCTCTGCCAAGTTCCTCGCTTACGTTCACCGGGCAGTCTACTACTAGCTATCCTAGTGGCTGATTTAATCTTTCTCCAGACGGCTTGGCAGTTGTATAAATTAATCTGCGAACATTTGCTTACTCGCCGCTATCCAGATGGGAATTCGTGCCATGGGTGCTTGAATGGTCCAGTGGAGTCTCGATTAGCGCATTCTGTAGAAATGACAGCAGGAAAGACTTATCAGCCGGTACGGCAACAAGAAGTTGAGGTACAGGTGGCTCAGAGATTATAATTTAGTGGTTGGGACTAATCTTCTGATTATAGGTTTCGTGAAAACACTTGAGTAAAGACGCGGGATGGGAGCTTAAGCAAACGCAATCAAGATGAGCAGGGAAAAAACATGTGTAGGGGATATCTCGTGTTGAGCTACTACTTAGATTACCAAGTAATCATCTTTAGAAGTCTAAGGTATCCTACACATGGTACCCACAGTTACTTTAAGGTTCTAATGCTTAAATAGTACTCTCTTATCGACACTATTACTCCCTTTATTCTCTTTTTAAATTCTAGAGAGTAAGACACTCTCTTTCTAGAAATCCAAGTCGAGCTTAATAGATCTGGTGATTTGAAGCTTCCAGAATGGTCGACTGCATATTGCAGTATCTGCGACTATGGCGGATTTCACAGTGATATTATAAGTAAGGTCAGAGCCAGGAACATTCATCTCTATAGAAGAGGTGTCGGGGAGGTAGTGGTCCAAGATTGCTTGGGCTGGAAAACCATCATGTTGCCACGATTTGAAAAACTTTTGCACCTCTGCCACGGCGTTGGCGTGTTCTACAACATTTACAAGGTAGTAACGCATATCATGTTCCGAATTGGACGTCCAACCTGTGACAAAGAGCATGCAGTCGACGTTGGCATCAGACACTCGGGTTTCAATTCCACCAGTTCCCACCACATCGCGAGAGAAGACGTGGGCGGAAAAACGTAAAGCGACCCACTCCCTTGACCGCCCGGAAGACTCAAAGAAGGTCTGGTTGCAGTGATTGTATATGCCCCAATAATCATAGATGTTGACATCCGTTCGGAAATCCAATGCGAGAACCAGAGTGCGAAGACTGGCGAGGGATTTGGCAGTAACATACTGATTGGGTTCGTTATCCACACTTAGAGCATGAGGAACTCTGATGGCAAGATACATGAATCGAGGAGCAAGTGTAGAACTGGCCGGGTCATATTCGACAAGACTACACGGGTCATTTCGGAGGAACATCTCATCTCCGATCTTCTCAAGGCGTATGCCAAGCTCGGTGCCGGAGGCAGACTTGCAGTGCAAAGGCATCATGTATGACTTCTTTTTGAGGATGGAGTCATTGACAATGCAAAGCGAAATATTTAATCTTATACCTTGATTTGTGACTGACGACTCGCCTACGAAGTCGGCGCCCAGTGAGCCGCATATCGACCCAGCCATGGAGAATTGAGCAGGGCTTTTTGCCAGGACGCCACAGTGTAGTTCTGAGCTATGTTCTCTAATAGCTTGGTTTGTAGAATCCGTCCATGCGAGTATGCTGAGATCAGAGGACGACTTGATGATCTCCTCTTGCAATCTGAGGAAAGCACGCTCTTCTTCACCATAGAGCAATGGCATATTGACGCCAAATAAGCCGAGTAGTGAATAGGCCGCATCTTCAATACGTGTTGTCTGTCGAGAAGAGGCCCATGACATCTTTTGGGCCACGCAAATTGAATGGAGTGAGCGCTGATGTAGGAGGATATCCTCTTCTATGCCCGAGATCCGGCATAACATAGTGGATAGACTTTCTTTTGATCCCCTATATTGCCAATCGCAATCATAGAAATATACAGTGCGAGGGGCAATAAACTCCTGTAGTGTCCAACCACGAGTAAACCTGCGGATAGATGCTTTTACATTAGGCAGTTGCATGTAGATGTCAAGTCACGCGAGGTTGACTTACCAACGGCAATGTGGTAGGTCTGCCTGAAGATCTGCATCAGCCTCGAGATCGGATAAGAAGGCGTAGCAGATTTCGCTGCGCTGGTACCAGGAGTACATGGAGTTGATGGCTTCAGTGAGCTCCGCGCTACTTCTCTTGTCTATGCAGCACGTATCTACCCACGCATATCTGATGCCACTCGCTTCAGCTATCTCAAGTGTCTTTATAACCTTTGCAAAGCCTTTGGAGTGTTTGCAAGCATGATTGGCGTAGTCTTGATAAGTAATTTCTTCGGTTTCCCATGTGTGAGACAGTATAGCATATGGAGGAATGTCACGACCGATAAACTCCTCAAAGTTGTAGGTACTGGTGTTGATTAGTCGCATGTCGAAGGTAGAGGAGGGTTGGTACGAGTGAGGGGGAGTAGGGGGTAAGGCTGAGGATAGTGGGCTAAGAAGTACCGACCCAGCCTGGTGGATGCTGATCGCTTATGTATGCTAGCGGGGTGGCATTGGCCAAATGGATGAGAGCCTTGTTCTAGCACTGCCTCAATTACAGCTGGGGTTACAGGGCTTCTCAATAGACTCAGGAAGCGCATGTAATCAAGCGGATATTGGCTTGAATGCACGTATATGTCTATGCACACCGGTTGTTATTCTTTTTTTTCATTTCTTTTTCCACGAGGCTGAGATGTAGGTAGAGGCAGTGCCATGATGGATTGTCATTTTAAGTTTGGTGAGCAGTACCATTGCTGAAGGACCATTCTGATCATTGCATATCGTGATCGTTCAATGATCTGGGAGAATATGGCAACGGAAACTACAATTTCTCGCTGTTGGTCTGTATACACGTGTAGATGACTGCAAGAGGTGCGAGTTCTCTCTCCCCCACCCCCTGGTCGTCGCGCTAAAAAGGGCGTTAGCGCCAAACGACGTCATGGTGATTGCGCGGTGCTTTTGCTTCGGACGCGGTTGATGCACTTGAACACAGCTTAAGACGCGCCCATTCTTCCCATCTCTCCTCGTTTGGACACTGCCAAGTGATGCTTGTCGCGTAGCACTATGGCTTCGGCAAGTGACATTCTCACGCTCATCAGCTCTTTGGCTCTGCGCCTAAGCATATGGATCTTCTTGCGATGGGTGAGCATAAACTGTAGACACTGCAACTCTACTACAACGACTGACTCGGCCGCAGATACCTACAACTGTCAGTATACACTCCAACAGATGACCGGTATACAAATCCACTTTGTCGGGGTCTTGTTAACACGACTTGATACCATCTAGATCGTACCCGCACTCGCAGCCGCACTCACGCTTGTCTACATCCCATCCTTCTTCACGAGTTTCCAGGAAACAGCCCAGTACAAGATTATATCCGATGAGCTCGATATAATCGTCAAGGAAACTGTGGGTGGCAAGAGCGATGACTCGAGCGACGACATTAAGCTCATCGACGGTGCAGACGAGGGTCCGTTGCAGGAGCTAGATGTCCAGGAAACCGTTCAGTATGAGGAAAGGGAGCCCAAGGTACTGCGCACTCTCCTCACTGGGCTCCCGAGTCCTTCGTCGGCGCTATGGAGCTGGATCACCTTCGGCATCAATATGGCCCTGATTGCTATGGCCTTGGACGTCGTTTATCGTGCGCCATTGCTCCACCAGTGCCATGACGCGAGCTTTGCCCGTGTCGGATACGTATCAGAGAACAGTGCAAAGATCCTTATCAGAGAGCCTTTTGCCTTTGATGTGAGGGTTCTCTATCGCTCCATCGACGAAGCCAAACGCTCTTGGATGCACAAAACACACCGCGCGAGCCAGCCAGACTACTGGCTCACCAACGAGACCGACTTTACCACTGTCCTCAGCCTCGACCATCTACGCCCTGATCTGGCTTACGAGTACATTGTCGAGACGTCGCGTGGGAACATTACTGGTACCTTCACAACCGCACCACGGCCGGGTCACATTTCACTGCTCAAAGACAACAAATACACTTTCGTCCATTCAAGCTGCATCAAACCCCGCGTTCCATACACGCCGTTTCAGCACCCCCTCGAGTTCCCGGGCATGAAGCACCTTGCACGCTGGCTTCCCGAACTCAAACCTTATTTTATGCTTTTCCTTGGTGACTTTATCTACGTTGATGTCCCGCATCGTACTGGCAGCGACGCCGAGACTTACAGACGCGAGTACCGTCAAGTATACTCTTCACCTTCCTGGCCAGCAGTCAGTCGGAATCTTCCCTGGATCCATGTCATTGATGACCATGAGATTCAGAATGATGTCAGTGGCTCCACCATCTTTTCCTCTGGTATTTACCTTGCTGACCAGATATCCAGTGGAATAGCAACATGACAGGTGTCGCGGTTCCAGCTTACGATGCCTTTACACACTACAATGGTGCTCCCAATCCACCTCCCCATCGCCCGGGCGTCACTTACTTTTCCTTTACTCAAGGTCCTGCCGAGTTTTTCCTCCTTGATACTCGCCGATACCGTAGTCCTGCTAACAAGGACCCATGGGACGCTTCCAAGACTATGCTGGGTGCCCAACAGCTATCTGATCTTCTTTCATGGATCAAGAAGGAGCCGCCAACAGGCGTGCATTGGAAATTCATCGTCACCGGCACACCCTTTACCAAGAATTGGCAGTTTGGGTCCGAAGACACGTGGGGTGGGCATTTGTTTGAACGCAAGATGATTCTGGAAGCTGCATGGGATATGTCATCTACACATGATATTGGTGTGGTGGTACTAAGCGGCGATCGCCATGAATTTGCTGCCACCTCGTTCCCACCGCCCAAAGATGGCAAATGGCCCATCAGCGCCACGGTACACGAGTTCAGCACTAGCCCGCTGAGCATGTTTTACCTCCCCTTCCGCACGTACAAGGAGATTGACGACGAGGATGTGTGTTTGAAGTATCTTCCTGATGGCAACAGCAAGTTTGGTGCCGTTGAAATCACGACGCCAGAGCATGGTGAACAGAGCTTTGTCACATATCGGTTGTTCATTGATGGCGATGAAGCCTGGACACATGTCATCAGTACGCCTCCAGGAAGGGCAGGTAGTCATAGGGCCAAGGATGCGGTATGGGGTTGAAGGGTAAACATTGCCAGGTGTGCTTTCTTTTCTTTTCTTTTCTATCATATCGATTTCATGGCTATCTTTTCGGAACACATAGATGCTTCATAATCACAGGTGCAGAGTTCAGAGTTCAGGGTAGTCTGTGTATGTATATCACTTGATCACAACAATGGGTATCTTTTTGATTACTGACGATATCCTCGTAATGCGTAGCAATGTTCAAGGTCATCCCCACTTCCTTCTTGCTTTTTCTTCATCCGCCTTGGACCACTCTCTGGGCAAGACGGCAAAGACCAAATAGGAAGTGTGTGTCTTGAGCTCTGGCTCTGTTCGATGAATCAGTCTGCCTTCCTTGTACAAGGGCCTCGTCTCAAAGTCCTTTTTGGTCTGTGCCATCCGGTCGTGTTTGCTTGGGGGCACGCCCTCCAACTTCTTCTTGCCCTTGCGAGGACCGCTATCTGCATCTCCATCGACGTTCTCGCCCCTCTTCCTCGCCTCGGCCTTGCGCATCACCTCCTCCTGCTTCTCGCGCTGCATGCTGTGGAAGACGGCGGCACGGCCTTCTACGTCGCGCAGGCGCTGCACCGCCTCTTGCACGTTTGCAGGATGCGCGTTCCCGCCTCTCACGCCTTCTTCCTGCAGTCCCACGCGCTCGCGACGCACGTCGAGACGCTTCGCATTGATCTCCACCATGTCGATTTCCTGCCAGCCGAGGGCGCGCAGTGCCGAGACGGTCTTGGTGACTTGCTCGATGCAAGGGCTGAAGGTGCAGATGCGGACTGCGTTGCGGGGATTGAGTGGGGTGCAAAAGGGTTTGCGATTTGTTTCTACGGGTTGCGCCGTAGGTGTTGTAGGATCGTTTTCTCCAGAGGTGGGTGTGGATGGATCGGTGGCTACCGAGTTCAGGGCCGCGGTGGAAGGAGGGGAGCGCGTGAGGTGTTTGAGTGCGTGCCACGGAGCAGGGAGATCGAGAAAGATGCAGTCAGCATCTGGACCTGGTGAGTTGTCCAGACCGAAGCCGTCGTTGTAGACGTCACGGTGGGTCACTGTGACGAGGGGCTCGAGGCCGTGATCTTTGATTTCGGCTTGAAGCTGCTTTGCGCGTGGTTCATGATACTCGAAACTGTAGACGCCGCCGGTCCGCATTTTGCGCTTTCTCTTCTTGGACATGCCTACGGCGTTTTCTTCTTCGCTGTTGGGCTCGTCGAGGGCGTCGCGGGTGCCCGGGTAGCCATTGTAGACTGCGCGTATGGCAGCGTGTGTGAAGCTTCCGCTTCCTGCACCCGCCTCGATGATGTGGTCGCCTGGTCTTGCGCGCAATCTCTGCAGAATGTAGCTGTAGTCGGGCGTGTATACAACCTGGGTGCGATGTGGAAGAGACAAGGTCCACATCTCTGGCGTGGGCGGTATCAGATGCGCAAACCCACTGCTCGCCGTCGCCGCCTTGACAATATCCTTCTTGGCTACTTCTGGCTCGGGAGCCACTGTGCCCTCGCTCTCATCTTTGCCGTCTCTCTTCCTCTTCTTGGACTTGCCACGCGATCCAGTGTCGACGACGGATGCGAGAATCTGCGTGCCCCAGGGTTGGCCGACAAGCGTGCTGTGGGGGAAAGAACCAAAGCGCGTGTTCTCTACTTTTCCCTCGGCGTAATCAGAGTCGGCGTTGGGCTTGAGGAGGGCTGGGATGAGGTGATCACGGCGCAATTGTAGGATACCAAGATTGTCCGCTGTCGCATACGCTCCCGGGTCGAGGAAGGGCGAGGGGACAGGCGCCATTGTGTCTTCTGTGGGAAAGACGGGCAGCGACGACGCGGGGAACAAGCGGTAGAGGCGGCGAGGGGAACATGCAAGAAGATGCAAAACTCGCAATGGAAGCGTCGCATATGTACAGAGATATTCGGCGGGGAGCTTTGGGCACGGTGATTGGCCGGTAGCGCCAAGACTTTGCGGACAGGGATTATGGAGGGTTCGGCCAGAGACCACCCACACAACGTGACACTCGCCTACTACGGACGGATTGACTCACCCGTAAGCAGCAACCCAATCTACTTACACCTGGCCTCATTGTTTTTATATCTACTCACTTGGATTGCTGCACTGTCATTCCTTGTCACCACAGTGTCTCGTCACATTGATGGTACTGGGGATCCGGTCTTTGTCCCGCACCGTCAAGTCGTCTTCCCCACTTCTGCTCTCCAAAACTAGTCGGGTAATAAACCAGAGTCCGCGCATTCCCAGGTGTCTCGCCGCCATGGCGACTCCAGCCCGCACCCAGCCACCATGGAAACAGCCACAGGGCTCCAGCCCCGCCAAACTCAAAGTGTGGAACTCGTTGACCAGATCAAAGAACGATTTCGTTCCCATTGACCCGGAGGGCAAAGAGGTCAAATGGTACAGCTGCGGGCCGACAGTCTACGATGATGCTCATCTGGGCCATGCTCGCAACTACGTCACCAACGACATTCTCCGGAGGATATTGGCCCATTACTACGGATACAATGTCAAGTTTGTTCAAAATATCACAGACGTCGACGACAAGATTATTCTACGAGGCCGTCAACAGCACCTCCTCGCCAAGTTCAAAGCAGACAACCCAACCGTCACAGAAGAAGTCATCAACACCACCATAAAGGCCTTTGATGCATACATCAAGAAGAATCTCCCCCTTCTCAGCGAAGACGTGACCATTGGCAGCTTCAACGACGAGTCTGCTCAAAAGTACGCCAACGTCATCCAAGGCAAGTCAGTCGATGGCGTCGGTCCTGCGGGTGATAAGGAAGCCAAGATCAAGATGCACCTTCGAACAGCTAGTACTGCAGTCACTTCTCTGCTGGCCCCGTCAAAGTCGACACCTGAAGACATTGAAGTATTCTATGCTGGCGCTGAAGATGTTTTGCTGCCCTATCTCGACTCCCTCTACGGCTCTTCGATTGATGCCAGTGACCATACTGTCTTCACAACTCTTACCAAAAAGTATGAGGCTCGGTTCAACGAGGATATGCGAGCTCTCAATGTGCTAGACCCAGATGTAGTCACACGAGTAACCGAGTACGGAGACCAGATTGTCTCTTTTGTAGAAAAGATTATCAAGAATGGCATGGCTTACAGTACTTCCGATGGATCCGTCTACTTTGATATCGAGGCTTTTGAAAAGAGAGACGGTAACCACTATGCGCGTCTAGAACCGTGGAATAGGGGCGACACCAATCTGCAAGCCGATGGCGAAGGCGCACTGTCGTCAGTCAAGACGTCGGAAAAGCGAAACGAATCAGACTTTGCTCTCTGGAAGTCAAGTAAACCTGGTGAGCCGGCGTGGCCAAGCCCCTGGGGTCCTGGCCGACCAGGATGGCACATCGAGTGCTCCGTCATGGCTTCAGCGGTTCTGGGCGAACAGATGGACATTCACAGTGGCGGTATTGATCTTTGTTTCCCGCATCACGACAATGAGTTGGCCCAATCGGAAGCATATTGGTCACAAGAGGGGCGCCCAACCCAATGGGTGAACTACTTCCTCCACATGGGCCACTTGTCAATATCCGGCTCTAAAATGTCAAAGTCCCTGAAGAACTTTACCACGATTCGCGAGGCTTTGAGTCGCGGCGACTGGAATGCACGCAGTCTACGCATCATCTTCTTGCTTGGAGGCTGGCATGATGGTGTCGAAATTACTCCAGACATGCGCAAGTCTGGATCATCATGGGAGAGTTATGTCACCAATTTCTTCTACAAAGTCCGTGATCTGGAAGTGAATCCCAACATTGGCTCGACAGGCGCAGAAGATGACAAGGTTCTTAAGTCATTCGAATCTGCCAAGAAAAAAGTTCACAGTGCGTTGGCCGACTCGTTCGATACCCCTACGGCCATGCGCGCAATTTCGGGACTCATTACAGACTACAACTCTGCAGACAAGGCTGGCCTCAGCGACTCCGTGTCGTTCGATGTCGCACGCTACATCACTCGCATTGTCCGCATATTCGGACTGGACGGTTCAGCAGACCCATACGACGGCGGCATTGGCTGGGCAGGTATCGACATTCCCTCGGCGGCCAAAGAGCACGTATACGCCGTGTCACGGGAACGCGACGAAGTACGTCAACACGCCATCGCTGGCGACCTCTCTGATGAGGTCTTACAATCCATCATTGCGCAACATAACCCCACACAGAAGCAGGATATCGAAGCACTCCCATACGCAGAGGTCCTATCCACATTCCAGGAGAATCTGCAAAACCTGGCCAAGAAGAAAGCTCCGGCAAAAGACTACCTAGACCTTTGCGACCAGCTGCGCGACACTCATCTCTGGGATCTCGGCATCTACCTTGAAGATCGCGAGAATGCACCTGCAATGGTGCGTCCTGTTGATGCCGAACTGCAAGCCGCACGCTCTCAAAAGGAGGAAATCGCCCGCCAGAAAGCTGAAGCGAAGCTCAAGCGCGAGCGCGAAGAGGCCGAGAAGAAGGCCAAGCTTGCAGAACAAGCCAAGATTAACCCCAAGGATATGTTCAGGACTGAGGAATACAGTGCATGGGATGACGAGGGCTTGCCGACAAAGGACAAGGATGGTGCTGATGTACCCAAGGCACGCTTAAAGAAGATGAAGAAGGAGTGGGAAAAGCAGAAGAAGCTGTTTGAAGAGCATGCCAACAAGGCCTAATTGGTTTGTTTGTAGAGAACATAGACGGTATGTCAATAGCATCCGTGTGGCAGGTCAACGTTAGAGCAGGCGTACTACAAAAGGGCTGCTAGGCAGCTGGTATGTGGTTTTCATATTTATCCACTAAAATATGCTAGGTACATGGCAAGTGCGTTAAGATGTTGAAAATGTCGGGTGAATGCTCAGGCGAAAAAAATGGCCTACTTGAAATTACGAATTCAACGCAGTTTTAAAGTTGACCAATCGAGACCAAGAAGGGTGGTGCCATACCGATCGCTGAGCGGTGCAGAGTGGCAATGTTCAAGCGTCATGTTTCCAAAGTACAGAGTCAATTAAAGGCGTTGTCTCAACATGTAGGGCGTGCCAAGCCCGTAATGCACGACTCGCGCACCACGAGCGCAACTTTGGAAATACTTATGTACTCTACATTGCGCTATGACGCCAGTCATTATCCTGTCACATAAGTAAGAGAAGTATTGGGAGTTGTGTATGTGTAAACCAAGAACAACTGGATATCCCCAAGTCCAAACCGCATCCATGCTCAAGACTAGTTGCTAAGTACAAGAGATGCATGACCGGGTTTTAGCACAACCCATGGCCAGCGCCTTTTTTTATCCCCACCAATACCATTAGCACCAACCTTGAGCCCTCACCCACGATCGGATTTCGACTAGTTTCCGCGGCCGATGGGCGGGGAGGGTCCACTAACTAACTACCCACTTGGCTCACCGTCGGATAAATCGCCGAGTGACTGAGGCTCCTCTTTGCCTACTTAATGTTACATTATTCATAGTGCTCTGTGTTGGCACTTCTCTCCACTTCACTTCCTCGCCTCTGTAGACTTGATGACCAGCCCATTGTGCATTCACAATGCCATCAAATCATGACATTGAGAAAGCTCTGGCTGCATCCCACGAGCAATTGACTACGACTACTACTATGCAGCACGACCATGCCCCAGCCTACGCTTCCATCAAAGCTCCCTCGCAACCGCAATCTCAACCGGAACCCGACATGGCCAGAGTACCAACCCACACATCCCACGCCTCCCGCACAAAGCAAACTATTCTCGACCTCGCCAAAACCATCACCGCTCGCTCCAACGCCGACATCATCGACCCAGGTCCACCCCCAGACGGCGGCACAAAAGCCTGGACCCAAGCCCTCTGCGGCCACTTCGTCGTCTTCAACACCTGGGGCATGATCGCCACCTTTGGCGTCTTCCAACAGTACTACACGCTGCGCCTCGGACTCGAGCCCTCGGCCGTGTCCTGGATCGGCAGTTTCCAAATGCTGGGCCACTTTGCCCTCGGAATGCTCACCGGCCGCCTCTTCGACGCGGGCTTCTTCTACTGGTCCGCCGTGCCCGGCATGCTGGTCTCCGCGCTGGGCATGTTCATGACCAGCCTGTGCACCCGGTACTGGCAGTTTTTCCTCGCACAGGGCCTGATGACGGGCGTGGGCAACGGCTTGCAATTCGCCCCCGTGCTCAGTCTTGTGAGCACGTATTTTGCCCGCAATAGGAGTGTCGCCCTCGCCATCATGGCCTCGGGGAGTGCCACCGGTGGCCTGGTTTATCCGACCGTGGCACGCCAGTTGCTGCCGCGCATTGGGTTTCCGTGGACGGTCAGGGTAATGGGGTTTATGATGCTGGCCGTGGGGACGGGCTACAGTTGTCTTTTGAAGCCCAGACTGCCGCCGCGCAAGTCGGGGCCGGTGCTGGAGCTTAGTGCTTTTGCCGAGTTGCCGTATAGTGTGTTTTTGCTGGGTGTCTTTCTCATTGCGCTGGGCCAGTACTTTGCCTTTTACTACATTTCTTCTTTTGCGGTTGATATCCTAGGGTTGCCGTACGGAACCTCGATCAATGTCTTGCTGGTTCTCAACGGCATTGGCGTGCTTGGTCGTCTGGTACCATCTTGGTTTGCGGACAAGTACACGGGGCCGTACAATATTCTCATACCTTTTTGTTTCGTTTCCACCCTCGTCTTGTTCTTTTGGCCTCTAGTCAAGAGCGAGCAAGGACTGTATGCCTGGGCTGTATGCTATGGCTTCTTCGTCGCCGGTTTCCAAGGCATCTTCCCGGCAGTCATGACTACTCTAACAAAGGATATGAGTAAAGTAGGGACAAGAAATGGACAGGGCCTTGCGATTGTGGGCTTGGGTACCTTTATTGGACCTCCGATTGCAGGGGCCTTGATACAGAACTACGGTGGAGGCTACCTGAGTGCACAGCTATTTGCGGCTACAGCCGTGTTGCTAGGTAGCTCTATTTTAGTTTTGGGTAGATTGAGCATCACGGGCTTAAATCTTAAGGCGAAAGTTTGAAGATAGCGTACCTGACTGGGAAGTGTAAGCACCTTCGATAACCGAAACTTAATCTGAATCATTTAGTTTGAATCAACCTTGCGATGTTTATTGAATGTCATGTATGTGGCTGTCAAACAATCAAACGCATGCAGCATAGCGTAAGACACAGGTTTCAAGAGGCCAAGTCAAAAACAGCAGTTGTGCGTTCAACAAAAGGCAGTGGGCTCTGCAGTGCAAGCATTGTAGATTTATATACATGATTCAAAGCAAAAAAAATCAACTTCAGCATCATCAAAACTACCTCACATCGAAAGATATATGTTTAAGAGTTCATATATGTATTCCACTATCTGGAATATCTAGCTACATGCCCAGCACCAAGATGGAAGTCCCGTCTTGTGCTGCAAAATCCCGATACCAGGTATACCACCAATGCATTCCTCTTAGAAGGTACCTGGGTGTCGGAAACCAAACAAAATCAATCGCATATATCGGTGGGCTTGATCTTGACAAGCCAGTCAATTGTACTCGAATAAAAGAAGCCCAACCGACAAAAGAAACCACACCTGGCCCGTACATGCATCTATTGCACACCGGCTACACGTAAGCCTGAATAAGCAGATTGAGAGAAACCACCTATGCAGCCCAGCCAAGGATAGTGCCCGAAGTAGCCCAAGCACGAGATTCCGGTGACTGACTACGATGACTCTCAGAAGAAGAAGAAGAAGAACCAGACGAATAAAATGGAACATATTCCGAGTCATCATCTCCATCGCTCTCTTCCTCACGGGACTCTTCGACAGCGGGAGACTCAACCTGCATATCCTTGGCCAAGTCAAACGCATCCTGAAGGCTGACCTTATCCGTGAGACCCTTCTCCTGGACCCACTTCCAGACCTTGTTCATACCAGCGCTGCCCTCGATGATGGACTTTTCGGGGCCAGAGACGTTGCTGCTGTCGATGGGGATGTGGACGGCTTGGCCTTCGTGCTCGATGGTCGCCCAGTAAGTGACTGTGTAGTCGGTTGGCTCTGGAACCTCGGGCGCGGAGTCATCGGGAGTGTCGTCGGGGGTGTTCTGCTCGTCAAGAACGGAGGTGGTGTTGAGAGCTTCCCATCCAGGCGCGCAGGTAGACATGACTTCGCCATCGATCGAGCCGCAGACGCCTGCATAAGGTGGAGTTGGAGCTCCTTTACGAGCAATGTGCTCAATGCAGTCGCCGTTCCAGCAAGAACTGCAGCAAGGATCAACATATGGAGCATGTTTGTTCTTCTTAACAGCATCTGCCAATGCACCATCTGCAGCACTGTCGTGATCCTTGTCCAACTGAGCAGAGTCGGGGTAAACGGTGGTTGGATCTGCTTCATGAGCAAGTTCCTCAACGCAGCGACCATTGCACCATGTATTCAAGCAATCATAAACATGCTGAATAACAGTCTTGGTACCCCAAAGAGCCTCTGCACTTGCTTCATCTGCAGAACCGCGGTGATCCTTCTTGGGGTGGGCAAATGCGGAGTGAGCATTGTCACCAGACGCCTCACTCTCACAATACTCTCGCTTGACACTGGTCTCGTTGGCTTCGTTGCGAAGCTTGTATGCTGCGTTGTCATCGTCATCCTGGTGTTTAGCCATCCACTCGTTAAACGCCTGCTTGAGCTCACGTGGACCGTCGGTGGCCTTTCGGTATAGAGAGATGGCGATGACTAAATTGGCACTACACATGTGCCTGACGTTCAATGCTTCCTCTGCCGTAAAATGGTTTGAATTTTCCATACAAAACGTGTACAGTGCGGTGGCCAATCTGATGGTCAAGGTGTCATCTTGTTTGGCCAAGAACGACTGGGTGTGACAAGTTGCAAAATCCGCAATGAGAGCGTCTTTGGAGTTCGAAGTCTTCGCACTAGCTGCTGGGATTTGCTTGAAAGACTTCGCAGTGTCCTTGGGAATGGAACTCTTCTCCAAACGGGAGATACCTGAGACCTTGACATCATCTCCGATCGACTCCGATTCGTGGTACTCTTGTGACTGCTGCTGAGCTGCATCGCTCAACTGAAGGTCGGCTAGCTCTCGACTGAGAGCAGCTGCAGCAGACCTCAGAAGCGGGACATTGATGAACTCGCGCTTTGCCGATGATTTCTCGGAAGCAGATGCGGCTTCCGTCTTCTGAATCGAATGAGTCGCCTGCAAGGCATCTTGCTTCTCGTCCTCGAACACTCCATCGTCCGGATCAAGATCTTCTTCGTTACAATCTTCAATCTCATCGGAATCTATACCAAGCTTCTTCTCCAGCATAGAAACTGGCATGTTGAAAGCCACGGAATACTTGTCCCTCATCTCACACGCCCGCTGGTTAAACTGTTCGACCAAAGCCCTCTTGTCAGCTAACGGCAATGCGCAGTATGAGGTGGATCTGGCAACTTCCACGAGTCGCTGGAAGCTGCGAAAGGAAGACATGAAGTCATCAATGTTCTTGTTGCTCTCACTGTCGCTCTCGTCGTACATGACTGATGGCTCCGTTGGCGTCAGATGCTCACGCGAGTGGAGTGGAGACATGTCGTCTGAGAAGTTTGTGTCCTCGCACAAAGACTGAGAGACTGAGGCAGACACTACGTCAGCAGTGACACGAGCGTCGCTGGGAGTAGGTTTGTTGACGCTTTGGGATGGAGTGGGGCGTTTGGGTCGGATTGTCTTCACCATGTTTACAAGTGTATGATGAGTTGTAGAGAAATTTGGAAAGAAAGTATGGTCGGATTTACACTCGCTACCGGTAGAGGGATTTTGTCCTACCAGGAGAAGCTTGGACGCTGCGTGAGGTGAGAGAGAGAGAGCGTTTGCGGACCAATTCACAGTGAGCGAGAATAAACAACGCACAGGGCAGCCACAAGAACACCCAGTGACGTAGATATCGCACGTGAATGTGAGTTGAAGTGAAAGTACGGCACGCTCAGTACCTTTGTGGATACCCCCGGCATGTTACCACTGTTTCTCCATACATACGAAAATGTCCCGATGAACGTACAATACCACATACAACTTCATTGCAGCAACGGCCTCCTCTCTGTACCCCTCTCATTCCACCAAACAAACCCCCTCCGTCCCGTCCCCTCATCCACCACTTCAACTTCCCCCTCCCTCTCCTCCCCTCTAACCCTCCTCCACCACTTCCCCCACCCCTCCCTCTCCCTCTCCCACACCCCACCCCTCCCATCCTCAAACAAAACATGCCCCCCGCGCCTCGCCCTAGCCCCCACAACCACCAATCCAACGCACTTGGAAACCCCATAGAGCACCAGCACCCCAAACAACGTACAGAAAATCGTGACGAGGGACGTCAAAAAGGTGATAGTGGAGACCTGGCATCCCAGCCCCGCAGTCCGCAGTTCAAACCGCTCAGACCCCATTGCGCAGATGGAATGGTGGCGGATGGGCGAGAGAAGAGGGAAAGCTCTGGAAAACCCATCCAAGGGAAGAGGAAGACATGTTGAAGACTACGTATTACCTCATCAGTCCTTTGCAATGTCAATCATTCACTATTTTCTTCTTTTTCTTCATCATCATCATCATCTTCTTCTTCTTCTTCTTCTTCTTCTTCTTCTTCTTCACAACAACAACAACAACAACAACAAGAACGGCGGAGGTAGCTTTTTTTTTAAAAAAAAAATTCTGACGAAATATCAGAGCAGCAAGGTGGTGATACAGAAAAGAAGTGGAAAAGAAAAAAGAAAAAAAAACTTACGATTGCGCACCATCCGCAATGACCCGGACTCCTATGGCAATCACCGCAATCCATGTAGCCCCAGCACAGCTTGAGGCGCTCCCAGTCTTCCTTGGGGCTCTTCTGCAGGCGTTGGTGAAATAGCTCGGTTGTATTGAGTAACGCGTCGTTGTCACGCTTGGCAGAGGATGCGGGGCAATTAGATGGCATTGTGTTTGTTTTTGGGGGGAAAGTTAGTAGGGACTTGAGATGGGTTTGAAACTACGGGAAAAAAAAAGCAACAGAGAGTGGACAACATGGGTTGATTGGCAATGAAAGAGAGGACCAAGCATGCTCATGTCATCAGTTTCACGCTAGAGTGCATTAGTCATGCGAGCGTTCCTTGCAGTTGATACTATTCTTGGATGCATTGCCAAGTCTGGAATATCACTTGGGAGCAAGAACAAGGCATGTGAATGACAACAGTCTAAATGATTCAATTACACTGAAATGAAGATATATACAAAAAAAGATGAAGCCCCATATGTACGACCCTGCAATTTTCATGCTAGGGTATGGCTAGAGATGTCTTATGCGGGGATGCATTGAGAGTAGAAGTTGTTGTTGAAGGTGCACTTGTATCCGCTGACACAAGCTGTAGGGCCGGTCCAACCTTGGCCACCGCATCTATTGCCGCATAAGTTTATGTTTGATACTCAAAGACACTGGAGTCACTTACTGTTGCCAGGCGCCCGCTACGGCGGTTGGGGTTGGCTTGGCCGATGACTTGGTAGGAGTAGCGCTGGTTGGCTTGGCTGAAGAAGCGGGAGCTGAGCTGACTGGCTTGGAGGAAACAGACGAACCACCTCCAGTGCTAGGACCAAGAGCAATGATCTTGGCGGCAGCGTGCTCTGCGGCGGTGACGATGTAAGAAGTAGGGTTGGTGAAGATTTGACTGCATCAGGTGTTAGTTTGTAGATCAAGAAAAGTATAGTGTATGGGGACTTACCCAGGGAAGATGGAAGCATCAACGACGTGGATGTTCTTTGTTCCGTAGACCTGGGCGTTCAAATCAACAACCGAGGTTCCGCCAGTAAGTCCACTGTCAGTTCCGAGCTTAGCGGTACCAATCCAGTGGTTGGCGCGACGAGCAGATGGGGTCTTTGGCAGACTGGCGACGTATTCCTCAACAGTCTGGTTGGCACTGGGGACCTGGAACTCAATCTGGGGGTTCTTCTTGATAGCCTTGATCATGCTCTTGATTCCCGCAATGACAACATCAGTATCAGCCTGGTTGATCAAGTATGGTGACTTGCTGACAACCATGTTGAGAGCACCGTTGATAGAGAGGGCACCTCGCGAGGTAGAGCCGTGACCAAGGTACTGAGAGATGGTCAGGTGGTGGGTATCATTGGCTCCTGGGCCCTCAACACGAGCAGTCCACTGGATGGATCGGTCGATTCCGTCAGATCCCCTGATAAATTCCCAAGCAACAGGACCAATGTTGGGGGCAGAGGTAGCGAGGATACCCGAGCGCTTGCTCAAGTACAAGTTCTTGTCAGCCTCGATAGGGGTGTTCCATGCCTCGTAGAAGTTGTAGTTGGAAATGTTGGGGTGCTTGATGACGAGATCGGTGTTGACGTGGTCGTTCAGGTTCTGTCCGACAGGAAGGTTAATCCAGTCAGACTCCTTGATCATAGTGGCACCGTCGCGAGCGCTGCCCTTGACAACACTGAGCTGATCCTTTGGTCCAATACCACTGCGGAAGAGAAGCTTGGAACTTCCAAAAGCACCAGCAGAAAGGACGACACGGCCGCCTGGGTTCAAGTTGACAGTACCGCAGTAGCCGGTGCCACCAACGCCGCTCTCGAGTTCAACGCCGGTAGCAACTCCGCCGTTGCGAATAACACGGCGAGCCATGGTGTTTGTCCAGAGCTTGAAGTTTGACCTCTTGAGCGCAGAAATCATGTAAGTGCCGAGAGGACCCTGTCGCTGTCCGTTCTCGTACATGAAGGGAGCGTAAGAGTAAGTCCTGTTCTTCTGGTTCTGCTGGCTGTTTGCAGTGACGCTCTTCCAGCCATCAGCACCAAGAGCACTGGAGAGAAGGTTGAAGCCTTCTTGCTTGTAACGCTTGCCATCGACCGAAGGGGTGTCTGTTCCAGGGATGCGCTGGAAGACGCGGTCGATGGCGGGCTTTACATCGGATGATTTCCAGCCAGCAGGGAATTGGTAGTCGAAGTCGATATCGACTGGCTTCCACCAGAGCGCAGCGTTGACGGCAGCACCGCCACCAAGAACGCAGCCGGCCATCTGGTCAATATCGGTACAAGCGACACCAGCAGAGTCAACCCAGATCTGGTTGCAGAGACCGGGAATGTCGAAGCGGGTGAGGTTGTTGCTGAGAGCCCAGTCAGGACCCATGGTTCCGCCCAAGCGAGCAAGAGATGGCGGGCCCTTCTCGAGCAGGAGAACACTCTTGCCAGTCTCGGAAAGCTTGTCAGCCATGGGGATACCTCCGGCACCACCACCAATGACAATGTAGTCGTAGGAACCGCTGGGAGCGGGGGAGCCCTGGCATGCTGCAGTTGGTGTGGGGGTGGCACCAGGTTGTGAGGGTGTAGGTGAGCCAGCGGGAGGGGTAGCAAGTTTGACCCAGTCAGCGTATTTTGCACTCCTGGCCGGGGCAACTTGAGCACCAAAGAGACCCTGGCCCTTGTTGTGCTGGACCCAAGTGCCGGAGTAAACCTGATCGTGCTGAGCCCATCCAATGACTTGAACCTCGCCAGTTGGAAGTTGAGAGCCCTCGGCACCTCCTTGGTTCCAGGCCCAACAGTTCTTGCACAGATAAACGTACTCAAAGTTGGTGTCAGAAACCTTTTGGTAGATGGGGCTTAGAGTGGCATTGCCAGTGTAGTCATCGGGGGCTACGTAACCACTGTACTTGGTTAGTGGGAGGGGGCATTGACAACCATGTCGGAACTAAACTGACGTTGCATGATAGAAGCCAGACTTGACGGCATCCTTCTCGGGCCAGGCCACGAGAAGAAGGGCATCGGGCATGCCACCACGGTGACTCAAACCGGACCAACCCTGGCCGGAGGTGAGGGAACCTTTCTGGAGTGGGGTGTCAGATGCGGCAAAACGAGGCAGATGATGTTTGCATGTATTTTGGTGGACTCACAATGTAACCAATGTAGTCCAAGTTGTTGCCAGTCGAGGCCTCGGGGAGGGCCATTCCCCATTCGAGGCCACCAGCAGTCTCAGCGCTGCTGACCACTTGGCGCCAAAAGGTGATGCCGGTAGCAGCATGGGTAAAGGTTTCTTGAGCGTATGCCAGAGAGGCGAATGAAGAAGAGAGCAGCGCAGCTGCCTTTGCAAAAGAAGAGCCCTTCATGATGAGGGATGATAAATGAGCGAAGGTGAAAGCTGGCGGGCTGGAGGGCCATGCCAGGGTGCCATGGTGGTTATATACATTTCGAAGGTGACCCCATCACGCCCCCTCCCCTAGACGCTTCTATCGAGTGCATAGAAGGTAGGATGGACGCCAATAGGGCCAAGACACTACCTGGGGGAGATGCATCTGGAGGCGGCAGAACAGGCCCCTTGAGCCAGGCACCGAAGATGGGAATCGAGAACGGTGGGGCTCGCGAGCAGGTTGGATTAGTATGAGACGCGCCGCGATTGGGCGCGGGGGTGGTCAACGTGACCTTGCCAAGGACCAGGACAGGTGGTTAATATGTAGCAATAAGGGCGGCATGGGGGAGTTGATTGATGTAGATTGCCTTGGAGCCGGGAATCCAGCTCATTTGCCGTTGGCGACGCTGCTATGGCCCATTTGGGGCAGTCGAGGCTTGCCCCAACCGGCCTAGCGCCGTCTAAGCGGCTGGAAACAACTCTTGGAACTCATCCTTTCATCACACACTCCCACCCCCAACCATGCGCCCAAGCACGCTTTTCCGCCGCATTCGCACGTCCTCTTCGCTAACGGCTCCCTGACGCCCGTTCCGGCCATTCGCCTCAGCCCAGTGTCAGTGTCGTCGACTCTGCGGCGCTGCCTGCATGTGCGACTCGCCCTCTCCACACTGCTGCCCACTGCCAATCTATTATATTGTCTCTGCTGTCGTCTCGCCTGGCCCTTTTCACCACGCCGTCTCGGGCCTTCCATTGCCCTGCAATTAAGACGCCCGTTTATTCATCTAATTGTCGGCTCCTCGCGCCTGCATGTACTTATCTGGCCATCCACGTGCTACAGATACAGGACACGTGCAGTAACGCCCGATAGCATGCTGCGCAGGGCGGGTATATTGACAGACGGGGCATGTACCTATTGTTTTTGCGGCTTTGTCATGATGAGAAATAATGCCGAGTTAGGCATCTATCCATCCTTCCTCATGCGCAACGGTGCCGTGTTCCGTTTAGTGAGCGGGTTAGCATCATGACATGTATAGAGACACATAGTAGTTTGAAGTCCATGTGGAGCAGCCCTTGGTGCATGTCTGCACCGGACACGGAGGAACTACAGCGCAATTTGCCGAATTCGCCGTTTCTTCTATGCATGCTGTACATAACTGGGCCAAGTCTTCGCTAGAATGCATGGCGGCGGCGTAGAAGGCCAAGGACTCTTGTGCTGCTCAAAAGGGCTGGTGATCCAAGACAGCTAATCACCGCACGCGTGTCACACAATCGACGACAGCTGCTGCGAGGGGGGCACTGCTGGGTCCGGCCATGTAAGTAAACAAGTTTCAAGTTTCAGGACCAGCAGCGGGTAGGATGGGGCGACCATGATGTTTCACACGGTCGTCTAGAAAGGCTTGGGAGTTCGTGGAAATACCTACCTGCGCAAGCGCGATGGATGCTCTCCACTTTACTAGCGTATGGCGGTTTAGCATTTAGTCACGTAGGTTACATGTGTATGTATAACTATGTAGATACTTAGACGCCCTCCTCCTTCCCGGCTGCTATGGGCACGTCTTGTCTCAGCCGCACCCCGCCACCCGGCTTCGCTACATGCTCCGCAACCTAATCCTAAGCCTGGGACAGTCTGACTGAGTGCTGAGTGACGGCATCCGCTCCGCACCGCACCGCACGCTGAGACACACAAGACTCGACCGCGTCATACTTATCTCGGGAGCCAGCGGATTCTCCGTCTGCTGCAGTGACAGACTGCAACATGTCAGAGTGTCACGAAGAGTGGTTGCGAGAGGGTAGGTTTATTGGTGCAGGTGTGTATGCACTGGACATAGATATGCTGGCTGGTATACATCGAGCTACATGTCTCTGTATCAACCATCTAGCCTTTTGGCCTCGATCGGCAAACCTGCGCGGTGTAACTCTGGCATGTTTGGCGAAACCTTGCGGGAATGTCAACGTCATTCTATTTGTTAGTATGAGTGATAAGAAGCATGGTGGCCGTGGTATGAGAATAGCGTAAGCGACATTGCGTGCTGGGTCTCTGCAATGCGAGTCGAAAAGCGGAGGCACATGGCCGTGTGTCTGTCTCGAATAGCGACGCAACTCGCCACTTGGACATTTACCGGTAATCAACATGTGTGACACTCCAACAAGACACCATCTCTTCCTATTGCACGCTTGGACAACCAGAAAGTCAACGGTGGCGCATGTGTTTTATGCACCCCGCAAAAACCTGAGGAGCGGTAGTTGGCCTTGGTCTAGGCTTGTTGACGGTACCTTGCATCCTTGGGGGTTGGGTCTGACTATTCCCCACACCCTAAACCGCCCCATGATCCGATCTTCTCCGCTCCCGCTGCTATTGACGCCTTGACATTCCCCTCTCAGTCGCACTCGCACACGCACACGTACTTGCACCCGCCCGCTAACAAAGACGGCCAAGATGCATGACGAACGCAAGTTCTCTCTTCTCCCCACCATGGCGTGAAAGAAGCTGACATAGCCAACCTACGTAGATCCCCACCCCCTCCTTGCCCAAGTCCCCCTCACCGTCTCGCCATTCATCTCGCTGCCCACGGCCACACCCCTCCCTTACTCATACAAGTCGCTTCCCTCAACCCTGCCGCCAAGTATCCTCTCGCGCCAGCAACAACAAAACGAGTCGTCGCCTTCACATCATCCTCACCAACAACAACAAGAAGAAGAATCCACAGGCGCATACGTCGTGTCTGCGTCTGGCACGTCTGCGTCTCCAGACCAGATTCTCTCCTCGTGCACAGCGCTACAGGCGCATTTGAAACAGCTCGAAGACGATGCGCGCAGGACACTGGCGCAGTGGGAGGAGAGGCGACGAGCTGAGGATTTGGCTGAGAAGAGAAGAGTAGCGCCGGGCTGGCTAGACAGTCGAGTCCATATCCTCAAACCAGAAGGTGTAGACGAGGACAAGGGAAAAGGCCCCCAACAACAAAACCTCATGGACTTGGATCCCCAGGCCGAGCAAAAAGCAAAGCAAGGCGAAGAGCTGGACAGAGTCTTTGGCGGCCTAAAGGTCTAGTCTAGCCATACATCATCATCACCAACAACAACATCACCCAAGGCCAGACAGACAAACATAACAGTTGGGCAAAAATTAATACCACATTGTACCAGAGAAAAAAAACGAAGTAGAAGCTATGACATGCTGTTTTAGCCCAGGTCCAGTGCCACATTTGCCCATAGCCGAAAACCCTCCCCCATCGCAGAGCGACATTACACACATATGACAACCAAACAATTCGAAACAGAAGGGGAATCTTGCAAGGAGGAAGAATCTCGACAATCGTTGCCACACCGCCACACACCGCACATGCACCAGCCTGTTGTACTACAACACAGGCTACAGCCAGAGAGGCTTAGCGACGGCCGTGAGAGCGGTTGATGCTGCCTTGCAGAGCGTCCACCTCGCCCTCCAGACGCTTGATCTCTGCATGGCTGGCCTCGAGGTCCTTGTTGAGGCGGTCGCGCTCGGCAATAAGCTTCTGCTCCCATTGCCTGAAGCGCTGCTCCTCCACCTTGACCTGCTCGGTAAAGCGCTTGCGCAGCGCCTCCTCCTCTTCCTTGAACTTGGGGTTGTCCAGCTTCCTTGGGCGTGCCTCGCCAAACTTCCTCGTCTCCATCTGGCCGGCGCGGTAGGCCTCGTAGTGGTTCTCCTCGGTCGTGTGGATCAGGTCGAGCATGTGGGTTCGGATGAGGATAGCGCGCAGCTTCTTGAAGTCGCAGTGCTCCTCGTTCTCGACTTCAGCAACACCCCAGGCGTATTGTCGACCCTTGACGGTACGGCCATCGTTGGTCTGCACATCCTTTTCCGACCCAATGACGGAGAAGGGCATGGCGTCGATGAGGCTGCGGGCGTGCTGCATGGCGGCAGCGTCGTCATCCTCTAGCGGGGGAGTGTAGATCTTGATGCCCTGAGCATCAATCACCTGGCGTACCTAGGAGCGGTCAGCATGTGTTGGCAGGGGGCGTACAAGAAAAAAAGAAGCACACATACCCTCATCTTGAACCTGGCCAGATCCGTGGGGCTCAATGTGTCGGCCTTTGCGACAACGGGGATCAGGTTGACGCGTGTGCACAGCTTCTTCATGACCTCAATGTCGAGGGGCTTGAGCGTGTGGCCCGTGGGGCGGATAAAGTAAAGACAGGCGTGGACACGGAGGTCGATCTTGTCGGTACGGCGTGGTTGTTGCTCCTGAAGCATGTACGACTCGTGCTGGTCGTCGAGGAACTCGATGATGGGCTGCCACGAGTCACGGTTGTTGACATAGTCGCCGAATCCGGGCGTGTCGATGACGGTAAGTCGGACTGCAAAGGGTCAGCCATTGTACCTAGGGGCGTATATAAGCATTTAGAAGGAGAAACCTACCCTTGAAGAACTTCTCCTCGAGCTCTGCCTTTGTGATTTCAATCTCGACCGTCTTGTCCATCTGCTTGTGGTGTCGTCGCTTGTGGTCGGCATAGTTCTTGATGGTGGTGGAGAAGAGGGTGTTGATGAAGGTGGTCTTTCCGAGGCCAGACTCTCCAGCAACCTAGAGGTATCAGATGGGGGATCCGCGAGGCGAGAATAGGGGACTTGTAGCTTACCATGATGGTGAAAGCAGCACCACGCTTGGCAACAATCTTGTGCCTGTGCTACGTTAGACTGGGGGCTCCGTGTCCATTCGAGACAGCAGACGGTACCTCTGGTTGGGGAGCTGGCAAGAGAGTTAGTATGTAGCATGTAGAGCTGGACAATGGAGATACGTACGTTGGCAATGCCAATTGGGGACGCGGACTCTGCCATGGTGTGGTGGTGTCGAGAGCTGCTGAGAAAGGTGCGGGATGGGTACGGGGAAAGGGTCTACAGGGACGTGTTAGTAGTCGAGTCGAGGCTTTGGCGCGATTCCAACATGACTGTGTGCAAGCAGGATCACGATGATAGTGACGAGGAAGAGTGGATGGATGGGCTGCCTACATACACAAGCGTGGTCCAGCAACGAGCAAGCGTGTGGGCTATGTGTAGAAGAGAGAGATCGTTGTTTGTGGTGGTGGACAATTTGGGCCGACTCCCCTTTCTGCGAGAGTCGGGCGGTCGGTCAGTCGGCAGGCACGCGCGCACGGGCCCGCGACGGGGAATCCGCCTGACTAGCGCGTCTGCGTGGAGATCCGAGCGCTGGAAAAAAGTTGTGGACTTGGAATCGTTACTCGACGACCATTGCACCGAGTACACTGCAGTGCCCTACATTACAGACCATTCTTGACAAAACCATGGTCACGCAGCCCAGTAGCCCATAGCGATCATGAAGACTGACTTCCAGGTACGTCCAATCTACACGTGCAAAATGCTCAGTACAATCACCTGGCTGACATAATCCCAGTTCTCCAACTTGCTAGGCACTGTCTACAGCAGAGGCAACCTGCTCTTCACCCCAGATGGCACCTGTCTGCTTTCGCCTGTAGGCAATCGCGTGACTGTCTTCGACCTCGTAAGGTATGTGGGCGCATCTATTTATCTGCCCGCGCATCCAGCCCGCTCACGTATCCTAGCTCAAAGTCGTACACGCTTCCCTTTGCCCATCGCAAGAACATTGTTCGCCTCGCACTCAACCCCCGCGGAAACCTTCTTCTCTCCGTCGACCAGGATGGCCGCGCAGTCCTGACCAACATTCCCCGCCGCATCGTCCTCTACCACTTCTCCCTCGGCGGCGAAGTGACTGCCCTCGCCTTTTCGCCCTCGGGTCGCCATTTCGCAGTGGGCATCGGACGCCAAATCCAAGTATGGCACACGCCCTCAACCCCAGATGTCGCAGAGGGTGACCTCGAGTTTGCGCCTTTTGTGCGCCACCGCGTCTACACCGGCCATTACAACGCCGTCCAGAGCATAGAATGGTCGAGCGACTCGCGCTTCTTCCTCTCCGCATCCAAGGACATGACGGCCCGCATATGGAGCCTTGACCAGGAAGAGGGACATGCGCAAACTACGCTGAGCGGCCACCGCCAAGAGGTCACCGGCGCATGGTTCTCGAAGGACCAGGAAACAATCTACACCGTCAGCAAGGACGGCGCTCTCTTCACATGGAAGTACATGCTGCGCTACGATGCGCCAGCAGACGCCGATGAAGACGACGACGACAACCTCCAGTGGGGCATCGCAGAGCGCCACTTTTTCCACCAGAACAACGCCCACGTCACATGCGCCAGCTTCCACCCAGAGTCCAAGCTGCTCGTCACCGGCTTTTCTCACGGCATCTTCTTCATCCACGAATTGCCCGACTTCGCCCAAATCTCCAGCCTGAGCATATCACAAAACGACATCGACTATGTCGCCATCAACAAGACTGGCGAGTGGCTCGCCTTTGGCGCATCAAAGCTGGGCCAGCTGCTCGTCTGGGAATGGCAGTCAGAATCATACATCTTGAAGCAGCAAGGTCATTTTGACTCGATGAACACCATTGCCTATTCGCCAGATGGTCAAAGAATTATCACAGCTGCAGATGACGGCAAGATCAAGGTGTGGGATGTCAACTCGGGCTTCTGCGTCGTCACCTTTACAGAGCACATGGGTGGCGTGACGGCCTGCGAATTTGCAAAAAAAGGCAATGTCCTATTCACAGCCAGTCTTGATGGTTCCGTACGCGCATGGGACTTGCATCGCTACAGGAATTTCCGCACATTCACAGCTCCCTCCAGACTTTCCTTTTCCTCGCTTGCTGTCGATCCCAGTGGAGAGGTTGTTTGCGCAGGTTCCATCGATTCCTTTGACATCCACATCTGGTCGGTTCAGACTGGCCAGCTGCTCGATCGTCTATCAGGACATGAAGGCCCTGTATCCTCTCTCTCTTTCTCTCCAGATGCAGGTACACTAGTCAGTGGAAGCTGGGACAGGACCGTACGCCTTTGGAACATCTTTGCCCGCACCCAGACCAGCGAGCCTCTACAGCTCATGGCTGATATCCTCTGCGTGGCCTTCCGTCCAGACTCGAAGCAGATTGCTGTCACAACGCTCGATGGCCAGCTGACTTTTTGGAATGTCTCCGACGCTGCACAGGAGAGTGGTGTCGATGCGCGACGGGATGTGTCTGGTGGCCGTAAAATGTCGGACCGACGAACGGCAGCCAACGTCGCCGGCACAAAGGCCTTTTCATCTGTCAAATACAGCGCAGATGGCACTTGTGTCTTGGCTGGCGGTAACAGCAAGTACATCTGCTTGTATGATGTCCAGTCAGGTGCTTTGCTCAAAAAGTTCACTGTATCCGTCAATTTGTCTTTGGATGGTACACAAGAGTTTTTGAATAGCAAACTCCTTACTGAAGCAGGTCCAGAAGGCCTCATTGATGACCAAGGCGAAGCGTCGGATCTTGAAGACCGCCGAGATACCACCCTTCCCGGCGCTCAAAAGGGCATTGGCGCAAGGCGAACACGGCCTGAAGTGCGGGTCCCGGATGTTGCCTTTTCGCCTACTGGACGTGCCTTCTGTGCTGCCTCCACGGAGGGTTTGCTCATATACTCGCTGGACAACACATTCCAGTTTGATCCATTCGATCTTGACATTAGCGTCACACCAGCGACCACTCTCGATACTTTGGCACAGAAGGATTATCTGAAGGCCCTAGTGATGGCGTTTCGTTTGAATGAACGCAACCTCATCCGGCGCGTTTACGAAGCCACACCCGTTACTAATATTCCGCTTGTAGTCAAAGAACTACCTTCTGTCTACCTGGGTCGACTACTGCGGTTTGTCGCACACCAGGCCGACGAGTCCCCGCATCTGGAATTCAACTTGGTGTGGATAGAATCGCTTCTCAGCAAGCACGGTCGATGGATGAAAGAGCACAAGGGTGGCCTAGAAGCAGAGTTGCGAAGCGTAGAGAAGGCCGTGAGGAGGATTCAAGCTGAACTCGCCAGGTTAGCAGATGACAACATTTATCGTATCGAATACCTGCTTTCTCAACCCGTGGGTAAGAAGGATAACACACCACTTGCTATCGACTTTGGCGTCAAGGAAGTAGAAAATGGCATTTTGGATGAAGAAATGGAAGATGGTGATAGCGACGCTGGCGAGTGGTTGGGCTTTGAAGAATGATACCATTGTACGAATACGATTATCTTACGAGCAGCTCCTGATATTCAAGGCTCTGTATACTTTCCTTGGTCTTCAGCCACGGTTGCCATTCTCGAATAGCCGGGATCGCCTTTTCCTTGCGGCCATGCGCAACGATGTCCACCTACCGCTTTGCTAAATGATTCTTCCAGCAGGAGAACGGGTGGCAGTTACGACTAATTACTATTCACTATGATCACTGTTACTTTGATGGGATGCTACTTGGTTCGCGTTTGGCGTATCAGCTTCTTGCTTCTTGGAAAAGAAACGTAGGCTTCGCCGTGGCCTTCCAGTATAGAGTCTTGGAGAAAGAACTTGCGTTTGGGTAGCAACTTTTACAAGGATCACAACAAAGGCAGCGGCTTAGAAAACTGTGGTTGCAAATAAGGCAGCAACAAATCAATGGACGGAATGAGGACACACAGGGCAACACCCTAATACCTTCAGGCTCGCTATTTCTTGCCCCATGTCTGTCTCCTATCTCGTTTTTATCGCAAGTCAATCACTCTCCCCTTTTTGGATGTCTACCAAGCCGAAAACTTACATCCATTTCCAATCCGCTACTAATCCGCTACTGTCATTCTGGCATAGAATCGCTTGACGTTTTCCTCTCTGTTTGCTATATAGCGTATCAGATCAATTATCTCAGAAAAGGATGGCAGGCCACACCCCAACCTGCCGGAATCGGGTATAAAAAAATGACTCTGCAGTCAAAGTAGTAAAAGGATTCGAGTGCGCATCTGCGAGACCCTGTTGAACCCTGAAAAATGGGTTGGTATTACTACCAAAACCTCTCAACGGGTATATGCCAATTAGACAAATCTCCATTGGGTACAATAACCAAAACGCGGTTACGATGAGACACTGAACTATGGTTACAATAAGAACACTGGTCACATCGCGCAAAGCGCTCCTGTGCCCATGAAGTCGCCATATCGTCTCCTTTCATCGCCGCCACGAATTCATCTGAACTCAATCTTCCATCAACGGCACGGATCCATCCGAACTCGACCTCGACTCTCATCAGTACCATGTCGAGCTTCGTTTCGTGGCCGCTGTCGCTAGCATTTCCCCCCGGCGAGCTGAATTTACGACACCAATAACGGATCAAGATCACCACCGCAGCTCCAAAGTCTCTGGCATAGAATACCGTTATTCCACTACTATCATCTTTTGTGGTGGATATGGATATAGAGGCGCAGCTTGGGCTGCTGCAATCGTTGGAGATGTTATGGGATGAGAAAGATATACCTGAGTCTGGCACCATCGACGCCAAAGCGGATACCCCAATGCGTCATTCGCTAGAGACTTTGGATGAATCATGTGCTATTAATGCAGTACGTGCTGTCTGTGATAATCGGTTGGCATCGCCTGTCACCAAAGATGCTTCGGGGCGCCCATCCTCGCAAACACTTGTCGGTCATTCTGGAAATGATCCGTTTCAAACGCTACCTAAAAGGCCACGAGCTTTTTCAGAATCCGATGCAAAAGAAACAGAGGGGGATCTCCCTTCTCGGTCAACATGGCTTCCCTCTGACATCATTGTACGGGACTTTGCTCGTATACGATTGACTTCATCCCCAGCCTCCAAAACTCCTTTGCCAACTCCATTTCAACTGGCTATCAAAAGACGCAGAAGCCAACCACTCGATTCCACCCGCCATGTCATTCCCCTACCCACCATAATCAAGCTCAGACGCACAATTGAGAATAGATCCGCGCATGGCACGGCACCCCCTGATCTTTCGCCCAAGCATGTCGGCGAACATCCCGCTCCATACACCATGCCATCTCTCGAGGACCTGGAAAAGATTCTACACCCCACGCTTATCGACGCCATCCTTCTGTCAGACTACGCAAGCGACTTTCCAAACCGCTGCTTCTGCGCGCTCGTCCTGCACGAAATCCAGTGTAAGCTGCCCACCATACACCTCGACCTCCACGGGCCCCGAAACCATCGCCACCTCCAGACACAGTTACGCTGCATACTCTCGAACAACACCATTGTGCGCAACAAGCTCCTCGGTCTCTATGGCGACGCATTGCGACTCCATGCGCACGCGCGCAAGAACTCGCGGCCTCTGGTGCTAGATACCTGGAACGAATTCATTGGCTTGCTAATCGAAGATGTGTTCATGCTACCCAGGCACCCTATCTTTGACCAGATTGACGAGTTGGAGCGTGTGGAGCGCGCGGTCGAGGTTGGGCCCGACGACGAGTTTTTTGCCAATAATACCGGGGTTAGGGCTAAACTGAGAAAAAGCATGGAGAAGGGGAAGCGCAAGATAAGAGTGTTCAAGTATAAGGGAGACAAGAGGGTGGTTAGGTCTAGGGGGAAGAGGTGGGATTTTACGGCTTAGATTGGGGGGGGGGTCTTGGTGTGTAGAATCGGTCACGGCGTTACCAAAAAATAAGCAATTGCTAATTTAGTCTTTTTTATGGTATTGAAATTAGGAGTGCGATGACTTGGATGTAGATGAGGGCTTCATCTGTTAAATCAGTTTTAGAGTTTTCTCCAATTGATGACAGGCCGACGCCAGCTCTCTTTGCGTTGCGTGGAAATACATCATACTTGGATATTCACACGATAACCTTGATTTTTTACAACATGATCATACATCTTACAAGCTCCCGCCCTAACTGCAATCCTCAACCGCCTCCTTAACCATGTCTAGATACTGTGTCTTCAGCAGCCCTCCATCGCGCGATGCGAGAGTGTCAAGCTTATCTACTGATTGTTTTAGGACTTGCTCAACCTTTGTCTCGAATTGTTGTGCTTCGTTTGACATGGGCATATCGCCCCCAAGCACCTTGCGAGACGTCTTGAGCGCGTTCCAAACAATGACTAGTTCGAACAAATTATGGCAATGTTCAGTGACGAAGTTGAGGTGTGATTTGACATCCGGGAAGGCGGCAGAGGTTTTGCTTGAACTTTCCACGAGAGCATTGAGCGATGCCTGGAAAAAAAATATGTTGATTAGAGGATATCCAGATCGTTGATGAGTGAAGAGGAAAACTTACAGCATAATCGGTCTGCTTAATTGCAGCAACCAAGCGAGTCACCATCTTCTTGGCCTCGTCTTGGTCCCCGCCGTACTTTTCAGCAACGACAGCAGCCAGTTCAGTGGGTAGCGCAATAACGGCAGGGTGCCCCCTCCAGTCGCCATCCTTCTCTGTCGTAGTCATAGGTTTATTGCCGCAATGATCATCATGTTCCATGAGCTCCACAACTTGCTTCGCCATCTTGAGCGCTTTTTTCGTCTCTTCCTGCTCCCAGTCGGCCAGTGCAGCCCTGTTGTGCACACTCTTCAAGACTTGGGTCAGCACACCCCGGTTGCTCAGACGGATCCCTGTTGCCTTTGGCCTCTGCAGCGCCTTCAAGATCAGATGGTGCATATCGGCCAAAGCCAGCTTCCTGATAACCATTTCTTGCCATTGAGGCCTGGCCCTGATTCCCGCTTCGACGAATCCCTCAAGACATCGAAGTACGTTTTCCCAGTCTTCCTGCGTTTCGCTCTTCTCCACTACACCACGGAGCGTCTGCCAGCGATCGGGTAGCTTGTTACGGTCCAGGTGCTCGAGGGGAAGAGTGACGTCTCCCAGGGTAATCTCCACAGGCTCGGCTTCGAGTTTGGGTCGGGACTCTTGCGAATAGACGAGTTTTTGTTGCTCTTTTGTCAGATGATATGGGAGCAGGACCTTTGAATTGAAGGTCGAGAGGAGGGCGGAGAGCTCAGGAGAAGAGGGTGGGAGAAAGTTTGGGAGGGCGCCTGTATCGAGTCAATCTCTGGGCGAACAGTGCTGGGTGGGTAGGAAGAGGATGCGGACCTCTTGAGTGGGCGGAACTCTGTGAGAAGGCCCGCCTCGAGCCATTGGCGTATTTACAGGCATATCGCGAGTTTTGGAGTGCCAATTGGCAGCTCCGCCGTATTGACTGCATCTTGTCGTGGGCGGGAACTGCGGCGTCGCATGCGCTCATCACATTTCCAAAAATCATCGGCAAACGCGTCAAACACGCCAAGACGCCGAGACTGTCTAATGATGAGTTCCCACCTCCATCCGCCTCAAGCCACCCCTGCAGCCTCAGGCGATCTACACAGCCACATCGGGGTCCCCTCTTTTTTCCAGAGAGCGACCATGTTGGCCGCAAGGAGGAGAAACCGCCACAGCTGGTTCTCCTCACGAGCCAAAAAGACGCCTGAAATGGACAACGAGCAAGCCACCTTTTGGCTGAGCCAGTTCATTGGAAAGAACCTACGCATACACGCGAGTGATGGCCGTGTCTTTGGTGGTCAGATGAAATGCACGGACAAGGTGGGTGGCTGATATTGGCTGTGACTGTGAATCACAGCGACTTTTAACGTCCCTCAGGACCGCAACATAATTCTCGCGCTGGCACACGAGTACCGTGCTCCTTCGGCGGAGGCCATTCGCAAGGCTGTTGAAGAGTCGGGTAACCAATCTGCATCTGTGGCCTGGAACAGCCGCTTTGTTGGACTCATCGTTGTGCCGGGGCAACATATCAAGAAAATTGAATTCGAGGAGAATATGCTGCCGGGACAGAAGAGTACGGTGGTTTTGTGAGATGCTTCTTGTTTGCGATTTGGGTTGGACTTTTACCTCTACGTGCGGGTACAATGTGCATAGCGCGCGTCACAAGAGCAGTGCGTTCCAGATATTACTAAGTGAGTATCTCTCCGAGTATCACATTGTGGTTTTGCTGAGGTTGGGGTTTGCAGGCGTGACAATAGCAACTGTGAATGTGGCCCAATACTACTCGGTAGCGAGATACCCTCATCATTCACTGTCCAATACCAACAATGCTTAATACAATACACGTTTCCCTATTTCTAAGACGATGAGCAACATCTGGCTGAAGTATATACTTATTGAGCCCTCTCAACCCCCACCCCATCAACACCATCAAGCATCCCAGCATATTAGCAATATCTAGTAACAACCGCAATACAACAGTGATGGCAAAGACGCGTCTTCAGTCTCCTCCATCGGAACAGCGATCTCTTTCCGATGAAGTCTCATGCCCTCAAGGCGCTTACGACTCCTCTCACCCGCACTGGCTCTCCTTCCAGAATCTCACAAAGATAGGCAAATCCCGACTGAGAGCCAAAAAGCATCATCTCAAGCTCCTCGGTCCAGTGGAAGCCAGCCCCGCTACTACACTGTCTACTACATCATCCACGGAAATCCCCTTCCTCCTTCGTCTTCCTGGAGAAATCCGCAATTCCATCTACTCTTACGCGCTCACTTCACCTACCTTGTCACTCACCTACAACGCATCAGAAATGCGTTTCCCGCTTGATGACATCGGATTCGGTCTCATGTCATCATGTCACGCGTTGGCGCTTGAGACCCAGTATCTGCATTTGAAGCTGAACAGATTGGTATTCGTATTTGACACGGATACTGCGTTGAAAACGAGGGAGTATTTTATTGTTTTGGAGAACCTGAAGAGGCTAGGTGACGCAAAGAGTTGGACGATGCACGTGGAAATCAGATGCAAGAGTAGAGATGGGGGTTGGATTGTTTGGCGTGGAAACATAGGAGATGCTTCGTTAGGTGTCGTGTTAGGACTTTTTGGGGGGTGTTACTATATATGATACATATGTTGGCATCATATCGACCAAGACGAATCGGTATGCTTCTGAAGTCATGTGACAATCCTGGGCTTCGGCCAAGCCAATAAAAGGACACAATAACTTCCGACACTCTACTTGTTGATTGTCAACTGCCGCTGCTAGAGCTAGAGTGCAGTGTTGAAGCACGCATCAAATCCTTCGTGGCGATCACTTGCTTGAAAGGTCGATAGCAGATGCGAGCTTTCTGTCCTCCGAATTGTGGGAACAACCGACTGGAGGAGTTTCACCCTGAAATAGAAATATGTAACTTCATGATATATGTGTACTTAAAGCATACCCTGATATGCAGGGATTGCGGCAATTTTCGAGTCCTTGTGCTTTATTCTAGCTGCCTCCGCGGAGGGTATCGTCGATGCACGTATGGCTACTTCCAAGAGTATTTCCAAGTGAGGGGACGGGATGGGCCACTGAGAAGACTGCATATCATGAGTCGTTCTATCAGAAAATACTAATCCCTATGCGCATACGATAGACGTTGTGGACTTGTAGGCGAGGACCAGTGAAATGGGTCAGCCGCATCCGCGCCGCAATGCCGCAACGTTGCATCCACCACGGCTCTTTTTTCCCTCCTACCATAGTTTCTGCTCCACAATTTTTTTCCTACTCACGCCATCACGAGTCATTATTCTGCTAAGCGAGGTCGCGTGGGTTGCTTCCAAGTTTCCGCCCGTTTATCACGTTCCGCGGACGCCAGGCAGTAATTGGAGGGGCAGCTCACGTAGTAGTACAAGCTCCCTTTGTTGTGACCGCCCTTTGTGTTGGGAAAGGAGCTTTTGTATGTAGTTCGGGGAAAGCTGCAAATGGGTAGCCCAACTGATTTTCACATACCATCCAGCGGCACACCCCGACCCCTGATACAGTAGAATCCTTTGCCAAGTTACCGTCTACTGCATCCGCCCCCATCAAGGGTGCCGAGCATTGAACGTCGGACCTCTGAGATGATATGAACGTCTCCGAAAATGGAGCCTCATATAGGATCGCACAGCGAGCGAGCTTACTCTGATTCTATCAGTTTACCACTCACACGGCTTATCAGAGCGTCAGAAACATGTTGGATCCCAATGCGATACTCATAGAATGTCGAGTCGAGTATGCCGTTGGTAGTGCCATTATTCTATTGCGGTTCTTCGCAAGATGGAAGATTGCAGGATGGCGAGGTTTTTACTGGGATGATTTCTTCGCATTCTCATCTTGGGTCTTCTTCACCATGATTTATGCAATGGTAGAGTTTCTAAGTAAGTTAGCGATACCGCTAAATGTCTTCATGGATAAATATCGAACTTACCCTCCCAGATGTAACTGGAGCTCCGATAGCAATGACGCAGGAGCAGCGCGAAGCACTTCCGCCTGCAACGCGAAAGTCCATGCGAGAAGGTGCAAAGGCGATGTTTGCCTCTTTTTACTTTCTAATCTTCCTCGTCTGGAGTCTGAAGGGCTGCATCATCATTCTATTTCTCCGTTTCACGTAAGCTCTACTGCCTAAAAAAGAAATTTATGCTCACTACATTATGCAGGAGGGACACTCCTCTTTACCGATATGTACAAATAATTGGAGGTGTGTCAATTGCAGCATGCATCGCTGCCCTTATTACGCAGACCACGCATTGCTTGCCAATGAAAAGGAACTGGCAAATTCTTCCTGACCCTGGCAAGGAATGCTCGGCCGGTGTTGTCATCAACATTGTCATTGCAGTAGGCAATGTTTTGTAAGCAATTTCGTCAAGTCATTTGCCAACCAGCTAACACAATGGTAGGGTTGATGCATTGTTGCTTGTAGTGCCTCTGTGGATGCTCAAAGACTCACACATCAGACTTTGGCGGTGAGTTATTGCGGTTTGCACCAAAAGCAAATTTTCCCCTTGCTAAGTTCTGCTGATAGAAAAATTCGAATCGTTTTCCTCCTCTCCCTCGGACTTTTCGTCATGGGAATGGCTACAGCTCGCTGTATCTTGTCAATTGGAACTTCTGTTCAAGTAGCTCTCGCCTCAGTATGGGCGCAGCGTGAGGCTGTAAGTTCAAACAGCTGTTTACAATCGGCATTGAAATACTCTAACCGATCACGGCAGATTGTATCAATTTTCGCTGTTAACGCACCAGTTATAAACGGTCTATTCAGAGCAGAAACCTGGGCAACGAGAAAACATACTAGCGATTACTCATCAAAGAACTCCCGCACATATCCAAACCCGTTACACAAGAAGAAGAAAAGTGGCTTCGAGATTTACAAAATGACGGATTTTGAGACGAAAATGAGTGACATGGAGACTACAAGGGCAGAGAGCATTGTCGAGTTGGTTACCGACCCGCCAGTTGCTTTACCTGTGTCCCAGTGGCGCTGTTCTGTAGAAGCGGCGAGCCAAAAGGGGCACTCAAGACGCGCGGGTTGAGTGAAAGATGGTAGTAAAAGAATAGGAATTCTTTCAGGCCTGCAACACGCAATTGTTCATTCCAGCTTCCCAGTGGCTGAATTGATGCAGCTAAAACTAATGGTCGTATCTGAGTTGTCGGCTGAACGCTGGATACTGAAGGCAGCCCTCCAAATACATCCCCAAAAAGTTGGTTCGACATGACTGTAGCAGAAAGACAACGGATAGATATGAAAGGCGTACCAGCAGACTGCATGTTATGGGTTCACTCCCAAGGCACCCAAGATGTCGCTTGAAACGTTCCAGGATATCAGTCTGCAAGACCGGCAAATCACCAACAGGGGAAAGCCTTTTTGCACGAGTCATCAACCCCTACCGAATGCTACATACGCGAAGGAATGCTCCCTTGCATCCTATCCACAATTGCCAAGGCTATAGTCTTCCACACCATAGGCAACTGTATTTGAGGAGGGGGTAGTGGTGTCTTCAACAGCCCTGGCCCGTTACAGCCGCGGAGATGAACCATAAGTATTCTCAAGCAACCCACCCTGCCTTCTTTGCTTGTAGTATATGATTCAACTTGTTGAGCGAACTCATAAGATTGATATCAACTATCATGCGTGTGCCAGACTATTCCAAGAACCTGATACAGTCTTTGGACTCTATCCGACCCACACAGTTTGCAGACGATGCACAGCGGTACGAAGCAAAAGAAGCCGCTCGACGCTTGCTGAATCGTCTCGAGACGCCGTTTGAACAAGGTTGGAGGCTTTCGCTAGAGACACCTGTGCTTATCGCTGGTATCCAGGTCGCTCTAGACCTAGGTATTTGGGAAAAATGGACAGAGGCGGATAAGAAGAGGCCAGGTGCGGCTATTGACTTGGAGCAATTGTTGAAGTGGGCCAACAAGCATATTGAGCCGAACTTGTTGCGTAAGTCCACATTTTCAAGCCTGAGTGGGCGATGAAATAGACTGGACAAACTGCTGACATGAGCACATCTAGGGAGATTTTTTAGGCATCTCGCTGCACTCCATGTGCTCGAAGAAACGGATATTGATACTTGGAAACCCACGCCATACTCTATTTCCCTTGGAGATACGGCATTGCACACTGATCAGATCACTCAATGCGGGTACGTCCGAATCTTAACGGTGATGTTAGATTTATGAATAGTCTCCCCACTGACACGATTAGTACCGACCATACCATTCCCACCGGGATCAATCTTCCTCGATTCCTTCAAAAACACAATTACCGTGAACCCATCGACTTGCAGGCTCTCGACAACTACCGCGACATGACCAACGGTACAGATTTCTTCGCTCTCTGCGCAGCGGATCCAGAGGGCAAAGGCAGCAGTTTCATGGGACTCATGACAGCACTGCGAAACCACAAGATGGCATGGACCGACGTATACGACACGCGCAAAATCATCTGCGGAGCCGACATTTCGCCAGGAAAGCCTTTGTTCGTGGATATTGGCGGTGCACACGGCCTCGACACATCACGTCTGTTGGAAAGACATGGCGATCTCCCCGCCGACGTACTCATCGTGCAAGATACGCCCGAAGTAGTCGCCATGCCGATTGAGCATCTCGACCCGCGTATCGTGAAGCAAGCCTACGACTTCTTCACCCCGCAACCCCAACTCCATGCCCGCGCATACTTTTTCCACGCAGTGCCACATGATTGGCCCGACGTCGACTGTGTGCGAATGTTTTCGCAGGTCAAGGCAGCGTTTAAGCCCGGGTATTCGAAGCTTTTGATTTACGAGGTTGTGTTGCCGAAGAAGGGAGCGACGAGTCTGATGACGACGTTGGATTTGCAGCTGATGAATTGTACCAGTGGGATGGAAAGGACAGAGGAACATTGGGAGCGGTTGCTGCGCGAGGCTGGGTTCAAGGTCGTGGGGATTAGTCGGCATCCTCGGGCTGTGGAGAGTGTTATTGAAGCGGATTTGATGTGAGGTGTGAAGCTGGGATGAGGGAGGGCTTGATTTGAGGACTGACATTTTTGTCCTCTGCTGTCTTGTGCGATGCGCCTCCATCTGAGATCTCCGTCCAAAAGTTTTTGTTGTGTATCCACTTTGCTGTAGATGTTTTTGTCTGCTTTCCTTAGAAAATCACTGAACGAGACGCAAGGAATAAGGCACAGGAGGCTGCAACAAATTGGCAAGTAGATGAGACTGTGAAAGTAGAGAATGCTCGATGATTTAAACACAGCACGCTGTTGTTGCTTGATCAATCTAGCATGAATATCGCATTTCCTCAAGTGATGTAATTAGAGCATCGTTAAAGTCTGGGTCAGTATGTTTTCTATGTGGTGAGTTTAGCAATCTACTTTCATAAAAAGAAATCAATAAAACATCCACGGTGGAGATTACACAGCTGTGTACAGTGTGCAAACCTAAAGGCCAAAAAAGATAAAAAGAAGAAGAAATAGATAATTGCATCGGCCGGGAATCTAGTCGAATGTTAGACACAAGTTTCGAATGCTAGGCTGAATATGAGACTTACCGAACCCGGGGCTAGCCGAAACTGTTCTCTGGGAGGGATGGCAACGGCTAATTTTACCACTAAACCACCGATGCTAGTGTTGTAATTCGATGACGAAATTTGTGATTTGAAAATTCATGTCCGAAATGAAAAACACTGAGCGGGCGGCATAGGCATAGGCATTTGTTCTGTTCGCAATTGGGACTGCAGAGCGGGGATGTGTTGCAAATTTGCTCGCTTAGACGCACATGAAGTGGCTTGGCTGTTGTGAGGTTAGCGAAGAGTGTTTCTGGGTGCCGGGGCGGAGTAGTTCCCACTGAGAGCCACTAAATGACCGAACATGTAGGCTTCTAACACGCAATTGTTCTAGCTGGGCGGAGTTTCAAGACCATGATGTGTAAAGTGCAACAAGGGGGTCATGTACTATTGCGGGTTTATCTGAGTTGATGTTTGATATAGGTGCATAGGAGTGCATTCAGAACTTAGTTAAATCGTGGAGTATGGCCAATATGGATGAGACGTCAGATGTGGTGAGGTTACTGCTCAACGTTGGAGTTCAGGGATTAACAATGATCACGTGCTTAGAGAGAATTATTGGGCAGATCCACGCCTACAGCCCTAGTATATTGGCTGCTTTTCAAGGGGATGCAAGAGATTGCCTGCCGTATCGAATATGCCACACTATCCATGCACGTATCCATTCATGGACTTGAGGCGATATCACCCTACTATTACTAACAGACTAAACTCATCTCACCAGCTACGGCGCTGCACATCTCGAAACTAGTACAAGACAACTCGTACAGCCCGCCTCTAGCTTCTCCCGTTGTCTATATTAGATTATCAGCTCTACANCGTGCGCAAAACGCCTGCAAAGTTGGCTTTTTTCGTCTGTGAAGTATGGTAGATGTTTTCCTTTTCATTCCGGTTGTCGATTGAGCAAGACAAAATAGTCTAAAATAGTCTGGTAGTAAGGGTTCATTGGATCAGATTGACCAAAAAAAAGCTAGAGAGTGGTTGTAAATAGGCCATGTAAGAGAGCAAAGTCACAGTCGCGTTGTAAATAAAGTTGTACTAGCGCGTGTCCCCAAATAGTAGGCGCGCCAGTGATCAAGAGATTGGGCGAGTAGTATGTACTCCATCTCACCTTTGTCCTACTACCATCAACACCTTCCATCAACACCACAATTATAGCGCGATTGAGTTGCGAGACTTGTATCTGCGTTTTACCAATCTTAATCGCTCTACGCACATCGTCAGCGCTACAGAAATCATCCAAAATGCCGCCCAAGGGTCAGAACGCACGCGACACGAGTCGCAAGGGCGCAGTGGAAACTCCTGCCGCGACGCCTGCAAAAAAGAGAGGTCGCCCAGCCAAATCCCAGACAAGCGCTAGTCAATCAACCCCAATCGCATCCGAGCCTCCAAAGAAACGCGGTAGGCCCTCCAAAGTGACCGCTGAAGATGTCGCCGTGCTCCCAGACGCGTCCGAGCCGACAAAACGCGGTAGAGGTCGCAAGCTAGACACGTCCAAGTCGGCTACTCTAGCTGCAACGCCTAACAAGGCTAAGAGTAAAGGTACTAAGGGCAATATAGAAGCTGTTGCCAATATAGTAGAACCAACTCCACGAAGGCGTGGCCGCCCCCCTAAAGCAAGCGGCCTAGACCTAAAGCGTGTCGTAGGCACTACTCGTGTAGGTAAGCGCCAGGCTGCTCAACACAGGACGACTAGGTCGGCCACCACCACCACCACCACCGCCTCTAAGTTGCGTACCCGTCTTCCACCAGCCAGCAAGGTGTTTAAAGAAGAGCCTGCTCCGCCGCCAGCTAGACGAGGGCGACCACCCAAGAATGCAGCACAAGCCCCTGTTGTTCCTCTTGCGAAGAAGAAGACGCCCAGAGGTCGCAAGGCTGCCGAGGTGCCAGTCGCAAAGCCTACAAAGCCTTTGGCGCCCCGCAAGATGCGTGGTCACACTGTGCGCCAGATCCCCGACAGATACATTGTCCAAGTCGACCAGCTCTTGCATAACCTAATGCAGGCCGATATAGATACCGCGTCTAAGAAGCAGGTACAGGAAGAGGAGGCAAACCACGCACACGATATAGAGGTTGAGGCTGACGTCGAGGATAATGTCGATGAAGAGAACATGGTGCCAACTAGCGCTACTATTGAGGGCCAGGGCTTAGAAGACGCTCCACTAGACGCAGGTGCTGAATCCGAATCCGGCCACCAGCACTCGGATGGCGTGGCAGATAACTTGGGGCAAAGTGAACCTACCTCTGACCAGAGTACGGAGCAAGAGCAGTCCGAGTTGAATGGCGACTTTGAGTATCCTCCCAGCCACGACGAAGATGGTATCCTTGTTCCCCAACAGGAAATTGATGTGCTAGATGAGGGGTATGCAAATGGTGCCTAAGACGGACAATTACTATAATCTACAAAGGGTCAACAAAATTAGCCCATAAAAGTCTATTGCTGACTTTCTATCGAGCTTCTTTGCATTTCCGTAGGTGTAGGGAAACAGCCTTACGATCGGGCACTAAGCCTGCAACCAGTTCTCTTCCTTTCTTTCTAGTCTATGCGCATGGCCAGCATGCCCCCGAATCACATGTTCAGATTTTCTTTGTACGTATGTACCATGAATTGTTGCAAAGCTCAACACGTGCACCTCGTTGAGACAACGCACTCTACTGTGGCCAATAGAACCCCCCAAAACGTCGCTCTGTTCCTGACGCCAATTGCAGCGAAAAAGCATTTGCACATCTCTTTTGTCGAAACCCCTGTCCCACTAGGAGCATGTGAGGGGCGGGAAATAGGCAAATTACAGTTTCACTCCGCTCATTGCTTCTGCTTTGAAGATGAGTTGGCTGCCAGCGCAAAATACCACCGTCTCCCCACCCCGTCTCATCGCTTTTATTGCTCCCACACCTGCCAAGGCGGTTGCACACTGGCGTTGTCTAGCAGTGACATCGGCTCTCATGGCCCGAGGCGGTGTCTCCCGCAACCCAACCGCCTCCTACCTTACTTAGAGTACTTTCACAAGCACGCGCATTTGCCGGGTAATACGAGCGGTCGTGGGCGTAACTTTACAAGCTGACGTCGTGTCTTTGACTGGTCGCTTTGGCGTTGCTCCACCGAAGTGGTGCGGGTCGATCCCGGTCTGCTCAAACTGGGCTGGTGGCATATCCGCTTGCATCTGCTCGTTCCCTTTTAGGTGTCACGAAAAAGCACGAGAAGCCAATTGAAACCGGAAAAAGCAAGCCACTCCTTGGCGGTGCTCGGTCAGTGGTAGGCTTCTTCCGGTTCGCCCGCATTTGATCAGCGGGGTGCAGCATCGCCGTGTCCACTCCCCATTGATCTACCCGCACTTGGCATCACTATCTCAACAGCCCGACCTACTAAGCGCGACCCCGACCCACTTACTCTGCATACGATCGCTCGCCCTCCTCGAAACACCGACATGGTGTCGTCTCTGGCTGTTTATGACGAGCTGAAATCACCGTCGTGGCTTACTACCCCACTTCTCAAGTCGCCGACAATCCTGCTAGACAAGTCCTCCATTAGATGCGCCATTGCGAGCTGCTGCATGTGCTTTCCTCGAAAAAGAAAGGCCAGTCGAACTTCAGCTGGGATGACAGCTCTATTCTGCCAAATGCATTGGGCTCATTGCGTCACCTATGCGTGTTGCTCTTTGCTTGCAGTCAACCTCAAGCAGCCCATGTGTCAGATGATAGGCTTGCTATTCTAGTAGAAAATGTCAATGTGCCATTCCAAAGCTATCGAATCGGCCAATTCATCGCCCCTTGACTGCCGCCACAGACAGCATAAGTATCGCCAGCCGCTCGTGTTTTCCACTTCCTAAACTTCAACCACTTTTTTCATTTCATCTTTTCTTGCATTTCATAGTCACCATGACCGACATGTTCCCAGTCGAAAACGACATGACGCCTGAGAAGCTCACGGTCATGAAGCTCAAGGCCAGCGGGCTTGGCCGAGATATCATGTCGGAGCCCTCATCTCCTACCGGCAACCGATCCTTCTCTTTTGCATCTCAAGCCAATGGCCACATGGCAACGCTAACCACCCGCCGATCAAATCGTCAGCTCAACAGCTCCTCTCGTCGTACCAGTAGCTTTCTCCAGTCACATCGTAGCAAGATGTCCAGCGAGCTTACCACACAGGCGGACGGGAAGGTCTTCGCTCTGATGGATCTCATTTCAAATGCTTCTCGCGAGGCTGCCTCACTCAAAGAGTCATGGGCACGCATTCTCTCAGAGCGTGACACTCTATTACGCGAGAGAGACGAGCTCATGGTTACGGTTGAAGAAGTGACCGAGGAGATTCAGCGCAAGGAAGCCGAGCACTCACAACACGGCCACGAGCATGGAGAGAGGAAGAGACAGGTTGAGAAGCTTGTCCTTGAACTCACAGCTGTTGTCGCACAAGTTTCAGAACATAAAAAGAAACTTGCGGATCGCGATCGTGCACTGGAGCTGACCCGCCATGAGCTTCACGAGCTCCAAGCCTCTGTTGCACTTACACTCGGTGAACACGAGAGGACTCGTTCCGAGCTCGAAGCTACATATGCGAGACTCAAGGTCTGCGAGAGTGAGCGCGACGTTGCCCGTCATGACTCGGAGAAGCATCACAATGAAATTCGCGCACTTGTCCGTGAGCACACTGAGCTCAAGAGCAAGCACTCAGAAACCATCTCCAAGTTCGACCTGACCCGCAAGGAACTCATCACCATTAATGAGCGTATCAAGTTATTTGAGCTTGAGCGGGACGAACACCTCCATGACAAAGACCGTTTGAACGAGGAACTAAAGCGTGCCAAGTTCAGGATCGAGGAGGCAACTCGCGAATTCACTGAACTCACTGAGAACCACGACCGTGTTCAGCGAGAACTCCACAAGCTCAAGGAAGCCCTTCGGTCCGTCGAGGCAGAGCGTGACGACTTCTCCTTCACTATCGAGAACTTGCGTCGCGACGTCAAGGTCAAGGTTGCTGGATGGGAAGAAGCCGATGCTCGTGCCAATGAGTACTTGCTCAAGCACGAACATGTCAAGCGTGAAGTTGTCTCTGTTAAAGAGAAGCTTCGGGAGATTGAGCTAGAGCGCACCGAACTCTCTAGTGTCATTGATCGCTCCCGTGAGGAGCACCGTCTGATCGTCATTGAGCGCGAGCAGCTCAAGCAAGATGTCCATGACGAGCATCGCAAGGTCGAAGATGGCCGCCGCCGTATCAATCTCCTAGAAGAGTCCCTTCGCCGGTCTGAGCTTGCCACCGCTGAGATCAAGTCCGAGATCCTTACCCTGACTGAACGCAATCGGGTCCTATACCGCGAGGGCGAAGACTCTCGTATCAAGCAAGGACATCTTACAACTGAGATTGCCAGTCTCCAGGAACAGCTGGCCCTCTTCCAAACTGAGATTACCAACCTCAAGTATGACCGCGATCGCGCACACTCAGACCTCAATGCCTGGAAGCACAAGTATGAAGAGATCACCGAGACAGTCACATCCTACGAGGACTCTTCTGCAGAATTTGAATTCGAGATCACATCTTTGCGCACATTGTTGAGCGAGGCTCGTGAGCAAAAGGAGCGCGCCATCCAGGCCCGTCACGCCGCCGACCGCGAGCGCGACGAGTACATTGCTAAGTACGAGGAAAAGTGCCGCGAAATGGAACGCTTCGAGGAAAACGCCAGCAGCATGTACCACGCACACAGCAATGCCAACGGTGGACGTATGGGCAAGACGACGACGACTCACACACGAGTTCTCTCTGGCGGCACCACCATTCACAATCACGATGCGAGTACCGGCCACGCCCACGAGCATGGTGAAGGGAATTCTCTGTTCGGCTAAAGAGTTGAATAGCAAGAATGACGCTAATTGCGACATTGACGAATTTGGGTTTCATAGCTTCAAGCATTGGCAGCGCTCGAGTGAGGAGATTAGCATGCGGAATGGGGTTTTTGAGATTTCAGGCCCGCCGCCGTCGCTGTCACCGCCGCGACTACTGCAGCCACCACCGTCATCGTCAAAATCATCAACATCATCAACATCACCACCACGACTACCGCCGCCACCGCGGCCGGTGCGACCGCTTTATCATCTGAGAAACTCCACTGTGGTTGCGAACGAGGTAGATACGGGAGAGGTGGAGTACTGGGTGTATTTTGAGGATGGATGGATGAGATTGAACGCTTGGTAGCAGGGTGCCGGCGTTACCAAGGCAGGTTACCTGGTAATAATTCATTCTTAGTTTACTACATCTTCTTCTCTGTATGCTTTGTTTCTTTCCTCGCGTATAAGTATGCTACTTTAAGGTTTTGCCAGGTGATGCTGCGAACAAGCCTTGTACAGGATGCCGATTGAAGTTTTGTCGTGATATTTTACTCTGCAACCGTCCGCCGTTTCTGCTAATGAGCCATCGTTCACAATACAGGGTAATGCGGAGATATTAAGGTTTGCTGGACATATATTCGGGGTTCCGATAGCCCTAGACGGATTGTTTCATGCGCGAGTGTTTTCCCACCAATACTATAATTAGCACCCAAGGATGTCACCGTTTGAAATTCGTTGTTATGCAGTTGCCCTATTGATGTTGTAAATGTAAATAGCTTGACCGAAACTCATGACGTTGTGTGTTCACCGATAGGTCTCATTGGATAAATTGAACTCCAGTAATCGCATCCTGGACGTGTACAGGTAATCGATTGTAAATTGCGAACCGTCGATTGTCAAATACCAAATGCTAAACATCACGTTGTTGGTATCCCGCCGTAATTGGTATTAGTTCAAACTGTACGCATTTCCTTGAACGAAAATCATTATGCAGGGTTTGATTTGGGGATGCTGCTAATTCGATCTAGACTTACCTTTTGAAAACGCTGACATGCCTAACACATCATAACTCCCTTCGACAATGAAAATCTTGAATGATGCCTATAGCATGCCCTCGTAGTTCAACCAAGTTTTACTGAAAAGTGGGATTGTCAATAAATGTCATGCCATGTGGCTGGCTCGATACACCTGTTGTCCCTATTAAATGCTGTTCACCGACTGTTCACTTACTATCTTGAGCGTAAAAGCGCACCTAAGCACTGGGCAACGGGCCGAAAGAAGTTGACCCATTGCAATATACGGCCGACAACTGCGCTGAGCCGGGACCGTTGAGCTGATCGTGCGCGATAGAAGGAGGGTATCCACAGCCGTTGCATTTTTTTCCCGTTATTTGGTACAAATGGCGCGTATACCTGACTTGAGATGATCTGTACGGCAATCGGTCCCCCTACGCTCCACGATCGCAACAATGGCTCCTCTCACACTCGCCCTAGGTGTCCTCGCAGGGCTTACACCCCTTGCCCTCGCAAGCCCCGGCTGTGGTAGTTCGTTGCCGATCAACTTC